AGGAGCTGTGTCCTAATATTGGACTTGACTTTATTCCTGGCTTCACATTCATGGTCTTTTTACATTGCATTCTCTTTATTTTACGTTACAGCAGATATGTTGAGCAGGCACGGTGCATTTAGCCAGAGATTCAAGAACACTCTCCTGTCTCATCAAAACTTTTTTCTCCTGCTTTGATGTGTTTTGTCTTCCTATTACCTTGCTACTTCTGCTAAGAACACAATGCCCTTGGAGAAATCTTGTTTAACTGCTTACTCCACACCCTATCTGTGCTAACTCCAGAGATGGCCAAGGCACAATGCAAAGGTGTTCAGAGTGCTTTGGCCACTGCCAGCTGTTTGCCCTCTGCGTTTCATGCATTTTTAATTGTAAACACTTCTGTTTGTCTCCAGCTTAATGCTTTTATGCAGAAAGCCTGGTATTCACTTGATTTGCAGCCATCCATTTCTTCACAAGCAAAGTCCTGTTTCATAACAGCCTTTCTGTAACTTGGGTGCTGGCTATACCACAGAACAATGTTTTAATAAATATTATTTACATTTTTCAGGGTAGCTAGAGGGGTTTTGGTTTTAATTAGCTGAGTAAGAGAGTAATGAGTTATTATACAGACACAGAAAGAGCTGCTACCATCATCTCTTTACCCATGGCTCCTGTGCCAACAGAGGAGAAAATAGTACAGGCCCTTGCAGGCAAGTATTTTTGTGAAAGAGGGGGAAGGGGAAATTGATTAAGATGTTACAGAGTGTGTTCTGCCTGGAGTCCTCAGTAGTTTTCCTTACCTGATTAATTGCCTAAGCCAGAGGTAGAAAGTCACTTCAACACTTGGGAGGAGCAGAGGGAGTGAAAGCCCTCCTGCCATCCTCCTGCAAGAAGTGCTTTGCTGGGGGCAAGTCAGAGAGGTGCTTGCATGGAAACACTGCCTGCTGAGAACCACTTCAAACAAATTATGGACTCCCTCCTCCCCCTCTCGCTGCTGCTTCCTTCTCCTTCCCTTCCTAACCCTTCTCCTCAGCACAGAAGTTTCTCAGAATCGCCCTGCTTATGAAACCTGGAAGATTTCAAGGAGCAAGGTCCAAGGGACAGAGGGGCATCCCAGGAAGCTCTGTGAGGAGGAGCTGGCTCAGTAGCTTAGCTTATGATATCTCCAGGAACATGGATGATGAACCAGACAAAGCATGAGGCTTGCAGTGCTTGGGAAAATGCACTGGCAGCCCTGCACCAATTTTTGCATGAAAACTTCCCAACACTTTGGATGCTTGCAGGAGCTGGTCCCATTACAAACAGATTTAACTTCCAATGTCAGAGAAAAACAATTCCGTTACAGACAAAGTGCAAATGAAAGAGGGATGTGTGCATCCTGCTGAAAAATGCTTCTGCTAACGAGAGCCTGGAGTGGCTGTGGAGGGGACAAAAGGAACATGCCTGTACTACTGTCCTCTACTGCCAGCTCCTGCTCTGCCATGGGGAATGAGGGCTCAGATTTGCCCCCGCTTGCTGAGGGGGGTTTATCCTGCACCTTATGATAAGACAAACCATGTTGCTCACAGCTCTACCCAGAGTCAACACCGGCAGCCTTCACAGTCAGTGTCCTGCTTGTCACACCCTGTCCTGCCACTTCTTTCTCCCAGGCTATCTTAACTGAAGAGATTAACACGAGGCTGTACAATATCTTCCCTAGCACAAGCCTGGCCCTTCACAGAGATAGCTATTCATACTTAAAATGCTGAGATCATCCAGAAGCCAACTCTTATGTGGAAGACTGGGACTGTCCTAATAAACACTGTGTGCTGAAAGCAGCAGCAACAACAGTCAATTATTTTCCCAAAAGAAGGTCACTTCTCTTCTGTGCACAAACTAATAGGTTTTGCAGACTACATTGCTCATTAATACCTGTCTAAACTCATCAGTTTTAGGAACTTTCACTGACTTCAGCAAGCCACTGTGGATCAACTTGTATTTGCACTTTCCAGGACACACATTTGAATTGAAGATCAGCTAGTTCATTCCTCACTTTTTAGCATTGTGCCAGTTAAACACAAATGACTAAGCCCAGAACAGCTATCCTATTTCTCACTGAACACAGCTACCCAGACTACCCCTGTCTAACATAAATTCCTGCTGACATCTGAAATTCTCTTCTAACAAAGTCCATTCTGAGGATGAATGAAATAGCTTCTCTGGTCTGCAAGCTTTTCCTAGTTCTCCTGTATTTCTGTTACCATGAATAGAAACTTTTTCCACAGCTTTAGGAACATGAAAGCTGGGCAGAGCCATAGGATGATGTTTCCACTTACATTCCCTGAATGCAGTTTTTCTTTCAGCCATTTTATGGGTTGGGGGAGAACATCCTGTGCACCACACCCATTTCTAGCTAGCTTCACACTATTTATACAGTCAGGAACCACAACCCATCTGCGAGAAGTTCAGATCTCAGGCAAGCCAGTAGCCACACTGATTCCGAGCTGGAGGGTTCATATTGCACAGTCCAGCTTAGAGCACTTTCTATTTATCTCATGGGATAATGACAGTTCAAAAGCTCCATGTGTGAAGCAGGTGAACTTGGGTGCATTGAGCAAAAGAAACAGGCTAAGGAGACTTCATGGAAAGGTTCACTCTATCTCAAGTACAGAAGCACAGAGCCTTTGGGCTGACTTTCCAGTTCGTTTGAAATTGAATCCATGCCTTGACAAAAACCCCAGAACCAAACAACAGCCCCACAAAGATGGTTCTCAGTCGTACTTCTGATTACTATTGGAAATCTCTTGCTAGCACTTCACAGGTCTTCCACCATGCATTTTCTGGTATGAGTGTGGTGGATCTGGTATGATCTATTTGGGCTCGCAATGAGCAGGGACAGGCTGTGGGGCAAAGAGAGGACAAGCTGAATTCGATGTTAGTGAAGTCTGTACCTCCTAGAAGAGCTATGAACTCAAGATTAAAAGCCATGGAAAATTTGCAAAAGCTGTGCTTTTGCAAAATCTGTTTCCTCTTCCTCACCTCTGGTAGAGAAACACTGCCATACTCACACAACAGCCAAGCAAGGATTTTCATGCATTTTTGCAGTGCTTAATCACATTGCTGATAGTAACCATAATTTCTGTATTGTAGCTAAGTAGGAAGAAAGCCGGTTCTTCTGTCTGGACAATCACAAAACTCTCCAACCACACACAGCTTGACAGACTTGCAAGTCCACAACACTACAAATCAACAGGTTTCACCAATGCCTTTAAACTGAATTTAACCACACATGAGACCTCAGGGCTCTCCTGTCACAGCAGCACTGAAAAGCAGCTCTCAGTCACACACCAGTGGATGCTGGAGGGATAGCTGCTGACCCCAAGGCTGAACAATCTTCCTTGATGAGGCAGAACTGGCTGAAGCAAAGTCTCCCCACAGCTCCCTGATACCTGCAAGATGGGATATGACACAAGCTTAAAGCTCCTGGGGGAAATCAGGGAGACTTAGAAATTGAAGCCACATTTTCTGGTCTCTATTGCATGCCTCTGTAAGAAAAATAAGGAATTTGTCTTCATATCTAAATTATCAATAGATGGCAAAAAAATAACAGCCTGAGTGCATCACCTTTAGATTTTACTCTTGTAAAGTTGTTGGGTTTTTCATGTGTAAATGTATCACAATGTATCACTTGGGTGCCTTTGAAGGAATGAACTCTATAGGAGGACAGTGTTGGTTGGAATATTTATAAAGATTAATGCTTGCTTAGCTTCCAAGGGCAAGTTGTCTCTGTTGGACTTCTTTAGGCATAATTAAAAGCAGCCAAGTGAGGTTTCTCCTTGCAAGGCCTTCTGAAGGAGCCCATCTCTTCCCACTGGCTGCAGGGGCAGCGTAAGGGAATGGCTTTCCTAGGCTAACACCAGCTTTTGTGGAAACCTCTGGTTGAAAGCAGAATACAAGGATTGCAGAGCACTAAACGCAACATCTGGCTGCTATTGAGTTTAGTTTAGATTTGTATAAGCTAGCCATGGGAGCAGGGGAAAATCTGCCACTGAATGTTCTGTGTGAAGATGGGGACATCTCTTACAGATTATTCTATTACTCAGTGACTGGTGTGAACACCTGAGTTTCTCCCATGCAAACCACAATTATTTTACATTTATGGACCCCACTGAATCCATTCCTGAGTGGTAGCAAGGTAGCCATTAGATCATCTAGCAGTGAGCTCCTTTTCAGCATGAAAAATGTGCCGTGGGTAAGGATCAGGGGGGTTTGCTGTGTTTCCTCCTATGGCTTTTCTCTCCCTCCCCTCAGGACAAAGGTGGGCTTGGTTCAAGGCAAAAATAATTTGCCTGGTTACATTCTGGCAGAGGAAGTTCATTCAGAGGATCTGAGATGCCCTGTGAGGTCTGCAGGCAATGCAGATGGGCCCTGTGAAATGTCAAGCCTTCCTGCAGAATAACAGCTCCCCACTGACAAATCAGCTCTGCAGTGGCTTCAGCAGAGAGTTTACCATAACCAGCCACCAGATAGCAGACCCGTACAGGAATTTTCCCATTCCCTTCACACCCTGTGCTGGGCTCAAAACAGCTTATGATGCACGGCTGATGGAATAGCAGGAGAGAAATTAGGAATGTCAGCAATGCTTCCTGACTACAGCGACAGGAGCCTCAGCCTCTGAGCTGATGGGGTGACAGCCAGGGAAGCAATTTCACTCACCATTTCACTGAACACTTTTTTTTTTTTTTAATTGAACAAGCTTACCTGAAATGCTGGAAAGGAACAAACTAGATTGATGAGCTATTTCAACTCCTGCCCATGCCAGTTTTCTCAGACAGTTTTCTTCTATTCCTCATTTTCAGAAAACACTGCAGTGCTTCCAGACTGCATCAATGAAGGCACAGTGGAGAGGAAATTATTTGCACTTGCTCTCTTGCCCTATTTCAAGTACTGACTGCCTTTAAGAGGTCAGATCTCTAATTTACACACATTTAGTAAGGAGGTGTAAAGATACGGCCACTCCACCCACTGACATTGACAATAGGCAGCTCTATGGATTTTATTCACATCTATAATGTTGATAAGCACCAGTATCACCACACAATGTATTTCAGGATTCCCATATACATGGTCCCCAGCTCTGAGACTTTCAGTCCTCTCTTCAAAACAGAGTTAAAATGAATGAACAGACATGCCAAGCACACACACATGCAGGGATCTGCATTTCAAACTGTCAAAAGTTTCCAAAAATTCTCCTACTTTTGCTAATTCCAGCATATCTGAAACTGGGAGGGACATGGGGGAACTTTCTGAAAATCCAGTCCAACTTAGAAAAGAGGGAATTTCACTGTCTTTTCTTTTTTTTCTTTGCACCTCTTTTGTTGCAGGCATTCATCTCCCTCTTGTCCATCAACCTTCCTTCTTCCACAACATGCCACCTGACAGATAGGAAAGCATGAGCTTCATTCCAGCATTTTAACCCTGAGTTCAAATAGCAGAGCAACTCATGTCAAGAGAGGAAAGAGACTCTTTGCTGCAGGTTAATCCCATCCTCCTTCTCCCCACTCCTCCAGATACTGAGGGCAAAGCAATCCTGGTTGCCTAGCGAATGCCACTGTGGTAAGAGCTCAGCCTCACTGTGATCCCATTTCTGCCCTGCAACCAGCCACCTTTTCCACACAAGACATGGAATAAAGAGCTGCTCGGACTCTGCACGGTCTCTGCCTCCCCTTTGTGTCAGGGGAGGCAGAAGGGCTGGTTTTGGGAACAGTCCTTCACATCCCCTTCTCCCCAGCTTTGCTCCAGCAAGTTCCCAGTGCCAGAGTCACCATCAGCTGGATCATTCTGTTCAGCTTGTTCCCTCCAGGCTCAGATCAGCTCCTCAGCTTGAGACCCAAATCTCTGGGTTCCTCTGCAAGGAGAAAGTGACACCAACCATTATTCTCACAGTTTTATTTGTAAAGGACATATCATGAAAAGCTGTATTTCAATGTATTTCAAAACCTGAAAAAACCCATGTTGGTTTGTGGTGTGTATGTTAAAGTGCTTGATAAAACAATACTTTTACTAATGTCGTCTTGAAAATAATCCAGTTCTTATTCTGTTAGTAATAATGTAAAGACAAAATATACTTAATGGAGACATTCAGGGATCATTTTAAGCTATACAGGGCACATTTGTATATTTCAAGTGTAACACACAATATTTCCCCTCACGATGCGCACCTTCATTTGATTGAAAGAAGGAATTTTCTCAAATACGCTGCTGCGCAACTACCCTAAAAACACATTTTTGAACAATGATATAGCTAATTACACAAACCAACTTGGAATAAACATGAGTAGATTCTTCACTAAATAGTACAACTTCATTTATTTCAGAGAATTATAATTACACATTTTGTACATTGTGAGGCATTTGATTCTCTGACTCCCTCAATTACCATGCTGGCTGTTAGTACAACTGGACTATGCAAACTCAGACATCTGCAGGCGGGCAACGGATAGGAATTTTTCTGTTTTTTTAAAAAAGCAGATACCAGAGAGCTTTGGTCTTTTCCAAGATTCCCTTTCTCAACCAAAGAAGGTGCTTTAACACTGAAGTAAAAACTGTGTTAGCTTAGAAGAATCCTGATGGGTTTCTCACCATTCTAGTGGATAGAATGATTTCTGTAAACCTTACAGAAAAAAACCTCACAGTTTTCAATCAACAAAATAGTCCACTAAAAAAACCCCAAAACATACATGATAAAATAAAAATTCACTATGAAAAACCGTTTTCCCAAGGTGGTCAAATAACTACTCTAGGAATCTGAGGGACTCAGCTGTGCCCCTTTCAACACATCTTGGGGTGGTTTATTGCCTACAAGGAAACATGAGACATACATAATTTTTATTGTATTATTATTAATATGATGTGAAACCTGACAAAACCAAACAAGTCAACACTTGCTGAAGAAGCTGAGGTGAAATTGTTTTAAGTGCTAAAGGTTTCTTAATGTAGTCTGAAATAGGGAAAGGCCCTGATTTGAATTTTAAAAATTCTCAGGTTTTGACTTCTTTTAACTTAAGAAAGACTTAATGTAGTTATTGCCTTTTTTCTCTGTGTGTGGTTTATTCATTTAAATAAATGACCTTTAGAGGTGCCTACATTTCTACTTTATCCTGCTTGGACTTAATCCTTGTCATGTCAGATGAATGCCACGATTGCTCCAGTCACACGTAGCCTTTGGAGAAGTCTGCAGCAGTGTACTTTGGGAAGCATCCAGCCCACAAATGCAGATGATGCTGTGAAGAAATCCAAGGACTAAAGAGGTGGTTATTTCAGTAAAATGAAAGTCACTTAGACTGGGCTGGGCGTGAAAAAATCCTGTATAGCAGTCATTAAACATGAAAGGCCTGAGTTGTAATAGAAATCAAAACATCCTAAGCAGTCATTACCAAATAATGCTGCCACATGGTTTCTGGTGCTAAATGTATAATTCATTGATAGAGTTAAGTACAGGGACACATTTTCAATTGCTGCTGAAGGGCTGTCATGCATCATCTGCTGACTTTAAGCAGACACGCCTGGCCACACGAAAATTCTAACACTCCAAATTTCACATTTCTGGAAATGTAAGAGAGATGTCATACAGCTGTGAGCTCTGACTACTAACTCGAGACACATTTCACAGCCTTTAGAGATTCACACTCACAACAATGATATGGCAGTGCTACCTGCAGTATTTGAGATGAGTTCAGTCAGTTTAAGGAAGCATAAGCTCAGGAGGAAAGAATGGTTATTGAAAGCTGGAACCCTCATTAAAGTCGAAGGCTCCTCGACAGTATTATTTTACTTCTTTCTTAGAAACGAAGAAGACTTCTATAACAAAAAACTCTCCAATGGAACGAAGTTACACAAAGAGTTTTCTTCTGGTTGGGAGTCTGATGTAAAACACTGAAGTGAGTGCTGTTCTAAGAACTGGGCAGCAGAAGGGCCACAGGAAAGTAGGGAAGCTTGACAAAAGGCAGGTGAGAAAGCAAACCCTCATTTCCATCCTCTTTCCTTCTCCTTATCTCCCATCCCTCTTTCCACCATGTGCACACTATGCCCAGACCTGCCACTGTCCACCATTGCCAAGCCACCCCCAGTGCCACTTGAGAGCACAGTGCAAGGCAACACACTTAGAGAATCAGTCAGGGGCCTTTCCCAAGCCTCAGCTGGCAATGAGACATCCAAAGAATCCACTGACCAAATGCCCAGGATTGTAGGGAATAAACAACTGAAAACAAAAAACTGTATTTAAACTAATTTCCAAAAATTAAAACCAGGTGAAGCTGTGTCCTCAGATCCTTCCGACTCCCATCTACAAGAATGGAAAATACACTCCATATTTGCTGCATGGTATTCACAAGGTGATTTTGATATAATCTCTTGTTCAATTTGTATCATACAGTTGCTCCCAGCTCCTCATCAAGAGCTGTATCTCTACACATGCACTGTATTAGTAACATATTAACTGGAAAGAGTATAGGAGAGAAGCCTCAAAATACCAACATGACTTTTTTTCCCCTCCTTTTGCTTAATTCCTTTTATTTTTGTAGCTGGATAATTAAAAAAAAAGTCATCCAAGATCCTGTACTCCCCCAGGAACATTCATTCTGCAGGACAAAGGAAGACTCATAACCTGTCAGCATTTCAAAGCCAGCTGATACAGTTCAGTAGCACAGCAAGAGCAGCATTTGTGGCTCTACAGCAATGATTCTTCTCAAGTACAGCAAGAATTTGGTATAAACCAAATTCCTCATCATGAGAAAGAAAAGGGTCATCCACAACACAAACTGGCTGAGGGTGAATCATGAGAACATCTAGACAGGGAAGGGACACACTGAGCCAGTCAAGCAAGCCACCATTCGCCATCTCAGGCTGCAACAGCAAGGCTTCAACAGGTGTCTCATCCTCTCAGGCTCTGAGGCTGACAGCAGTCCTCTCCAGTGTTTAAGCATTCCAACACTTGTTTCCCCTTTTGGAGATCAACAGGAGTGACACAAAAGACCTTACAGAAAAAAATGACAACTCATGACTTCCACACATAGGAAGGTGAGTCTTCGAACAAACAACAAACTAAGAGAGACCATGTACAGTAGGGTAAACTAGCATATGCTTACAGTATTTCCAAGAGTGACACAATCACAATGGCTACATAAGGATATCTGCTGTATTAATTTGCAATACCTGAAAAAAGCCCTGCTGAGTTTGCGCTGTATTTACACGTTGATTGGCTTCTTCCTCACAAGCAAGTAGCGGCATCCCTTCCCACCTTGGTCCTTCCCTCCCTCCCCCAAATCCTTCCCCTGGGTTTAAACTACTCATAATCAGAACAGGAACATTCAGTCTAAGAAAAATTTCTTAGAGTAATATAATTTCTTAAAGAAGATAGCATATTTACACACATCTAACACATGAAAATACTCTATTTTTTGTACTAAATTTCTGTTTCAAATAAACTACAATACTGCATCTTAGCTTTCTGCAGCTTTAGAGGCCAGTCCCCATCGGGCACAAACCGGGCTTCCCAATCCTGCTTCCACTAGCAGCTTTGCCTTACAGTGGTGCACTACCATGGCATTCAAGTCCTTGCAGGTCTCCAATTGTGGTTTGCTTGTTTGGGAAAGGAGTAATGAAGTTCTCAGCAAAGCCATGCTAAACATCCACTCCTTTAATGAGCGATCCTTCTAGGATGATGTTGAAATCTTGCAATGTCTGTAGGACTCGGATTAGGGAGTTGACAGTCATGCGGTCCCGGAGGAGAGCGTTCTCCTCGTACATCCTGGTGATGGGCGGGCACTCTGCCAGCAGCGGGATCCACTGAGACAGCAAGTGGTCCCTGCAAAGGGCAGGACAGGAATTGTTACAGCACCAAGTACAACAGACCTCACATTGGAATTCTTCTCCAAGACCACAACCCAAAACATGCAGCCCCTTTTGGTGAGCGGTGGGTGTTGTTTGCACGTACAAGTTTGCCGTGTAATCGCAACTCTTTATTTGGTTAGTAAAATACTACCTACTGTAGAAATGAAAATTGAAAGGTATTAGCAGAATTGGACATTTGTAAGAATTCAGGAACATTTTCAGATATGGAGCTAGGGAAGTAAAACTCGAGGAAAATCTGAAAGACTCTTTGCCAACTGGTTTTCCAAGTATCCGCACAGATAAGACAAAAATGGTACTTATTTCTAGACATACCAACTTCTACCCTCCAAAATACAGCTAAGTCTCACCCTCCTGCCCCTCCCCAACTGCAAGACAGAAAGTACTCTATCAGGAAAGAAAGATTCATCTAGAACAGTTCTGTCAAAATTATAACAGGCATCTCATTTTCACAAGCAATTGAATGGGGATTTAGAAATTTACCAGCTCCTGAAACGGAACTCTACATTCCTGAAGTCAGTACTTCATTAAAAATAGCATTTCAAGACAGATTTCATACACATGACTGTCAAGCTAACAGTTATAAAAAAGCTCAAAACATTTTTAGCAGTTTAGACACTAGCCATTTTATTATTAGTGCTTCTTTGCTCCAATTTTTGACGTAGTACTAAATCTGCCTAAAATAGGCACTGGATAATAGATAGGTGTGAGATGTCTTAAAATGGAAAATTAAAGATAATTACAATGGTGGAAAAATATTCTTCTAGTCTAATGCCAGAGGATACACATAATGAAGAGCAGTTCAGTACCTTGTCCCCAGGCAAACCAAGATTTGGAATTTGCCATCCTTTCCAATGTTCCTTGGAGCTGTATTGATGGCATTGACATAATGACAGAAGGTTTTGCATGAAGATCTCTGAAGCAAAAGGGCCTCCTCATTGTCTCCAATCTGATCACTTGTTTCAAAGTAAGCAACAGCTTTCTCTGTGGTAGGGAGAACATCAGAACCCAGTGAGAAGACGCACTTCATTGTGACACAGAATCACACAAGGGAATCCTCAAAAAGCAACCTGCTGAGAGCTATTCCACAGTTTATCTCTGAATTCCTGACTCTGAAGACCATAGGAAGGTGGTCACCTCCACTTTTGCCATGGCACAGCACTGGTCAGGCTGGCTGATGGCTAACACAGGTAACACCAAGAAGTGGCAACAGAGCACCCCTCAGTGGTTTCACTCTAAGTGATACCATCAGCATTGATTCTTCTCTTTTTCTGAGTAAGCACTTACCTTCAGGCTGAGCATCTCCACCTGCAAGCCTGTTCTAAGGGAGGAAGTACACCTTAAATTACCCCTACATAGGCCTAGAGGTAATGATCACTAGAAGACCAGTGCAATGATTAGGAGAGTTCTCAAAAACCAGAAATCCAAACCTTCCACTCCCTGCCCCTTCCCAGCTCACCCCCTAACACCGGTTGCTCCTCTACCCCAAACTCCAGCCTACCTTCTTTCTCTCAGAAAAGCAGCTGTTTGAACTAGGAACTCTTAAATTTCTGCACAGACTCACACTCTTCTCTTACAGAGTTTAGTATTTCTCATCTGCCATTGGGTTTCTCATTGACTTTAAGCAACCTGGAGCAGGGGCTTGTCAGGAGAATGACCAAAAAAAAAAAACAAACCCTAGTTGATGAGAATCCAAGGACTGAGAGCTCTCATGAGAGGAGTCATTTTGCCCTAAACCTTCTCCTCCAAATCATATACCAGCTTACCTATGAAATCCCAGATGAAGACATTCTTATGAAAAATGCGAGCTGATTTGAATCCATGGTGGAAGACCTGCTCCAGTGCTGCAACCAGACCATTTTCTCCACACAAAAGAATGGTAAGGCTCCCTCTCTGTGGAAAAGGGAGAGTTGGTAAGTACAACTCACCTCGTTTGGATGCCAGAAACTTCAGATCTAAAGCTAGTACATCTACTGGTACTTCAGTGCCATTTCTGTTTATAAAAATTTGCAGGCAAGTAATGAAAAGTAGGAATTACCTCTTTCTCTGGCTTGTGGAAGTGTTTCACAATATTATTCACAGCTTCCCCGATTCCCTCTTGGATCTGCCCCGCATTAGGCTCTGTGAAATGATGGAGAGCAGGCTAGCTGAAGGTTAATCTTTCCTTGCTTGACATTTCAGCACTCACGCCCTCTAATTTCACAGGAGCTGGACAGATGTATGAACAGGATCTACACTGTCCCATCTCTGTGCTTGAGCAGAGAATGCCTCGTGTGACCCTCACAGTCCCGTGTCCTGTTGCAGCCAAGAGCAGTTCCTCATAAAAGCTAATTTTAGGGATGTGAGGCTGAAGTGCCCTAGGGTCCCTGCAGAGATAAGCTCTGGCAGAAGGCAGCCCACAGCAGCCACATCAAGCTTTGAGCTGCCTGTCTTCCCGCAGACTGCAAAGCGAGCTGGGAGGCTGAGCAGCATCAGCTACTGCAAATTCTGCTGCCTCCTCCTCCCTCATCTCACATCTCCATGATCCAAAGAAAGAGATTAGTCTCTCTCAGCAATCAAAAGGGGACATTGAAAGAGGCAACGTGTACGTCACAGAGCGAACAGCAAACAGGGAAGGCAGGAAAAGCTCATCAGCTTGCAGCTGCTGCTCTGCACCAAAGCCTTGCTTCAGGATGAACCCTCCTGTTCACAGCAGCTTTTCCCCCAGCAGTTGGCAGCTTCTCTCTGACCCTGGCGAGGCAGGCAAGGACTTACTGGTGTTCCTTCCTGTGAGGGAAGTGATGCTCAGCCGCCGAGTCACAGTGGGAGATTTCTGCTGGGGCGGGGTGCGGCACTGCTTTCCCAGCTCCTCGTCAGACGTGGAGGACACCAGCTCTCCAATGAGGATTCGCTCCAGACTGCCATCATCGACGCCTTTTCCCAGCCACCGCCCACAGGGGAACCTGCAGCGCGCCCAGGACAAGCACAGGTCAGCCACACGCACGGTGCAGCCTGATCGCAGAGCTGGGGGACAGCTGGCACCCAATAAACACTGCTAACCGGGAATACTTCGCTCCCAGAAAATTCTCACAAAGCAGAGCTCTGCAGGAGCAGCCCCTGCACTGCAACAGAACCGTCCTTAGAAACAGGGAAATATGCAAAGCTTGGGTCACATACATATTTTATGGCCCACATCTTGTTTCCTGCCAAGTTATTTTGCACTTGCAACTACAATTGAGATGCAGCCTTTAAGAGCCTTGTGATGATTAACAACCAAATCCCCACAGAATTTCCACCCAGCTGAGGCTGTGACATCTCCTCATCCTCAGACCTCACCTGCTGTACCTTTGGATCTCATACACAGCCCTAATGAAATCCATGCCCACAACCCTATTCCTTTTATCCCATGTCCTCCTACTCTCCCCTACACACTGTGGCCAACTCAGATCTGGAGCTCACCTCTCTGAATTGCAGTTTTCCAAGTTCACATTTTTAAAAAAACTGAGTCTGCTTAGCCACGTTTTGTAAAATCAACGACGAATTTGGAGATCATTTTGACACAGATGTGCTCAGTATAAGATTAAGAAATCATCAAAACCTTTTATTTTCCTAATATTTCCCCCAGAACATAATTTCAGCTCTTGGGATTTAAAGAGTTAATTTGTGCACAATTTTACCACACTACTTTAAATCAGGAGCTCTAATTATTAGACATAAACATACAAATCACTACAAAACTATCCATACTGTCTCAGAAAGATGCAAAGAAAATCCTGCACTCAAATCTCATTTAATATTTATCAGATTATCTGACTTCAACTAAGGCTTCTGAAATGAGAGAACCACGGGTAGGGGAGACCAACCCAATCCTATCAGGGTCCCAAATCAGCCCCAGTCAGAGATAAGGAGAAGGTGAACGCCGCCTTGCTTTCTCTAAATTCAACAAGAATTTCAGACAAGGAAAATTACAACTTGTTGCTTACTTGTACGTGTGTCCTGTTATTTCATTCCTGACCATGACACAATCAACCAGCCACTTGGCCAGTAGCCCTGAGTTGTCATGACCAATCTGAACGGTCGTCAGCTTCCCCAAGTTCTGGCACTGAAATGAGTAACAGTTTTTGCTTCATTTAAAAAAGAACAGACAACACACACCCCCACCACATGCACGCATATGGTCTCAAATATAGGCTTTTATTCAATTTTCTAGTTTTCTTTGATTTATAGAACAAGTATTTTCGACCAAACACGCAGAGCATTTTCAAAAGCAGCATAATTATTTTAAGACAGGAGAAAATAAATAAAATTGTTAAAAGCTTGTGGAGAGATTACATTCTTTGTTGGGAGTGCTCACTCTGAATATTTCTGAGAAGTATTAATGAGACATTTCTGAGTAAGGTGACAAAAAGGTATATTTTTGCAGAAGAAATAGATCTTCAGCTTACAAATACAAAGAACTTTTCAAAAATTCATTTGGAACATACTGACCTTCAGCTGACTCACTCCACACTATGCAACAGTCCCTAGATCCTTTATTATTTTCAAAGATTGATTTGCTTATTGTTGAGCCAAACAAAAATCACTTACTTGAGACTCAGCATCACAAAGACACAGAAGAAGGAAAACAAGGCTCTGCGAATTCCAGTGCAATATGTAATTGTAGGTGGGGCTGGCAACAACATCTGTTAACGTCACCTAAACACTTCCCTTGAAAGACCTTGGTTTTCACTGCTTCTGGTGCTGCCAAACAAGCAGCTTGGGCTGACATTTTCTGTAAGTGGGTGGATACCCAAGTTGGTATTTTAGGAAAGTTTCAGCCAAAGGAATAATCCAGAACAGCATCAATATGGTCCTGAGAAATATCTAAATATGTCATTTTGCCTATTAGAAGCCTGGAGATCTTTCCTACAAACTAGGAAAATCTGAAATGAGATGTGGGCATTTATCTCAAAAATATCCTTTCTTTGTCAAAATCGACCTATATTTGGCAAGAGGCTTTTTTTATTATTGTTGTTGAAGATCAGTCTGCATATGCTCAGTGGATGCAACCTCAATTTCAGCAGCAGATTTTCCTACAAAATCACTCCTTAATGGATATGGTACAGCCCAGAGCTAGAGGAGCTTGATGGGGTTTTCCCTGCAATTCCCGCTACCAGCTGCTTTGCCATGGCACCGAGCCAACCTGTAATTGCTGGGTGGGAAAACAGAGGGGAATGCAAAGAGAAAACCCCAGCAAGCCTAGGAGAGAGAGCCCCGGGGGGATTGCAGCTCCGGTGTGCCACGGACAGCACCTGAGGCTGGCATGCTGAATAGCAATGCCAGACAATGGGCTGAGAAGAAATTTGGGACTGGCCAGAAGTCAAAAGGAACCTGGGTGGTGGTTAGTGGAAAGACAGAGTGAAAGAAGGGAAAATAAACACTTGGAAGGGAGAAGAGGAGTTAGAAATGAGCACTGAAAGAGAAAATTAGGCAAGGAGACATGGAAGGGAACGAAATGTGGAAATAGATAGGCAAGGTGAGGAATTCTGGGCTGGACAGGGACAGCAGCAAGACCTGTGGTTAAAAGTGGTGTGTGCTCACAGGAAACCTTCATCTCACACAAGAAGGGCGGGCTATTTTCCTGTACATCTTTGAACCTACAGTAATGTTGAAAATCAGGACCGAACCTGAAATGCTGTGCTCTTAAAAACCCCTTAACAAATTAATTTTCTTTAGAAGCATGTTTCAAATTGAAAGGAAAACGTGAAGAGCACGTACTCACCTCAAACGTCATTTCTAGGTGGTTTTTAGGAATCTGCATGACACCACTATCTCCCAGTTCTCCTGATACACATATCCATGGGTTTGACGTGGTTATTGCATTGCTTAGTTTTTTGATGGGAATTATCACTGACCTGTAAGGGATCACTGAGAACAGGCAGAGGGGGAAGTATGTTAGTCTTGATCTATTCCCCCCCCCCGCCCCTTACAGCAAACGCAATTTCTGGCGCAAACCACGCCGTTCTCTTGAAGGGAAGCTGTCGTTCCTGTCTCAGAAGGAAGCAGGAGACCCCTGCCACTGTCGGCGGGGCAGCGGTGCCGCACGGTGGAGCTGCAGCCCCGCGGCACGGCCGGGACAGCGGGGCCGGGACAGCGGGGCCGGGACAGCGGGGCCGGGACAGCGGGAGCCGGGACAGCGCGGCAGCCGCTCCGGAGCAGCGTGCGGAGGATGGGGCAGGTCACGGGGAAAGGAATGTCACAGCCATTCAGCAGTCTGGTTTGCAAGGGCCCTTTAGAAGCCATCTAGTCCAACCCCCTGCAGTGAGCAGAGCCATCTTCAGACTGCTCACAGCCCTGTCCGACCTGACCTTGAACACTCCCAGGGATAGCGCATCCACAACTTCTCTGGGCAACCTGTGCCAGGGTCTCACTACCCAAAATTTTAAAAACTTCTTCTGTATAGATAACCAAAATTGACCCCTTTTACTTTAAAACCATCACTCCTTGTCCTGCTGCAACAGGTAAATTATAAAATGTTTGTTCCCATCTTTTGTATAGGTCCCCTTCAATTACCGAATGGCTGCAACAGGAAATGTTGGCATGGCTGCTAACACCACAGCCAGACTCTCGGGTCTGGTATGTCTCTCTGGACATACCCCTCTTTATTCTTATTCCTGTTCTTATTCTCTTACACTTCTGCTTTTAAATCTGTACCACTCATACATGCTTAAGACAAGGACTGCCAGGCACCCCAATTTGGATTTGACTCTGACACTGCACCTCTAGCACCGCAAGACTCACTCTCCCCTTATGTTTCATAAGCTGCCTTTTTGACTGGGGAAGCTAAGCCAGACTCTTTTACTTTTGTGTGCCAGCCAATCATACTGCACTCAAAAAATGTCCTCAAATCCCAAGCACTTGTCCTACAGTAGAAAGCTGTTAAGTTGGATGCCCCACAGAAATAAGGTAATCAAGGATGAATAAATCTCTTTGTGCTGCACTAGCTCTGAGGGGATATATTGCTTTAAGAGGAGAAAAAGTCCCTGTTTTGACAGCCATGGAAAACTTGCTTCACTTCACTGTGAACAGGCAGGAAAATTAAAAATAGCAGCTGCCCAGGTGAATCCAAACAATTAGGTGATCTAATGGGATCTTGTTTTTTCTGCACTGTCCAGTACTGAAGAGACAAAGATTCATTTCCAGATATTAATGCAACCTCTGCTCTCCTTACAAGAGAGAGTGAGAAAGGGAATCTTTCTGGCATTTAAGAAGAGACAAAACCAGATTAAAAATACACAGAGGAGCACAAAGTATTTCATCCTCCAATCTTCCATCTCCTCCTCAGTCTGAGGAGAGCAGGCTGCTAGTATGCACACTTAATGAAGGCCAGAAAGAAGCATTAGGAGGTAGAGGACCTGTCTGGGAGGGAAGCTGAAAGAAACTATACAGAGAGCAGCATTTTCTGCTGATTACTCTCCTTTGTGCAATGCTCCTATCCAGAGCACTCCCACACAACCTTGACACTCCAGCTGGTTTCCCAGAGCAACACACAGCACCCAGGAGCCCCGCAGCAACAACCAAGGCTTCCAGATAAGGGCTCAGCTACTCAGGCACCAGCAGCATCATCTCTTACAAACCATGACAGAAACTAATTTTTAGTCAGGGGGAGAAAATTGATTCTCCAACTCACTGATTGTAGTGAAGACGCTTGTGAAGCAGAAGTAATCCACAGCATTAAGTGAGAGCAGGTGATACAGAAACTGTTCCCGTTCTTCTTCACAGCGCAGGAAAGCGTAACGCTTGTAAAGTTTCCTGGCAGAAACAAGCACATGGCATTTTTGTTGTTGCTGTTGAAAAAGCACCATGTATCTTAAAAGGTGTTTGAATTTCAAAATACCAAATGAAGAGTGGCTCTTAATGGGAGATATGACTCCTCAATAACAGAAGCTGCTAGAAACCCACAGAGGGCATGTAAATGTGCTACGTGTGTTTTACAGAGCACTCTTGGCTCCTCACTCCCACAGCAAGGATACTGTGTTCATCTCAGTTTGGGGTTTGCTGCAAAGCACAGGTAAAAACTAATACTACTCACAGCAGCAGATCTGAACCAACATACAGCAACCTCATTTCTTCCCCATCTTCACAGTGGGAACACTGTGGAATGGTCTCATCTAATAACCTCATCTTCCATCTGCTCCCTACTGCGACAGAAAACTCAGCAGAATGCACCAAGCAGCAGCTGGGGTCCTCCTGCCACCCTGTCAGTTCAAGGATCTATAGGGCTGCAATGTGGCTTGGATCAGTGCAGGGATCTGACCAAGAACTAATGCCTCCTTCCTGAAATCTGGGATGTGTTTTCCATGCAGATTAACAGACTTTTGCCCTGCTGGGTGGGCAGTACCACCTCTACCAGCTCCCCCCTGCCCTTCAATCACTTCTAGCTGGAAACCACAGCACTCAAACAGGATGCCTGGCTGTACCCCAAGCAGCAGCACCTTGAGACATCACTTTCACAATGTGAAAGTGAAGGTTTAAAGAAAAGAGCTGGCTTACTTCGCAAGTGGCTGGTTGGAAAGCAGCTGCTTTAGGTGCTGAGACAAAAGCTTCTTCTCCAGAGAAAGTCTTATCCAGGCTCGGGCTCGCCCCACATCAGTCTTTATCTCACTCATGTTCTGAACGTGCCTGAAATGTGTGGGGAATAAATAGATGAATCAGAAAAATTTTGCATGCTTCAAATGGCAACATCCAGTGTGACGATGCAGCAAGTGAACCGGAAAATGTCTTCTGACACAGCTTCTGGAGAGATCCCCAGCAGGGCCCCCCAGAACCTTGCACTGTGGCAGAGATCCCTCTTATGGACACTGGTAACATTAAAAAAAAGTAGGCACCTTGTGAGACCCACTTATATCTCAGCTGCCCCCTCTCAAGCTGCTGACTTGAACGGGTGTATCTGGGAGGGCAGAGGACAAATACCTGTCCTGAGAGTTTCTCCAAACTACAGTGGCTCTGAAGGTTCTAACAAACCCCTTGAGGGCAGCAGCAATGGCACATCTGAGAAAATGAGGATGCCAAGGCAAAAACAGCAACAGGAAGCTGCAAGCAGAATCACATTTTTAGGGATACAAGAGGCCTTCTTGTAAGTGATACTTTGAACAGCCCTCCATATGTTTCATCTGTAGGAAAGCAGAACTGTTCCATAGGGGCTTTCTTCTATGGTTTTGCTTTTCTTTTTTTCTTTTTAAACTTCCCACATTTCAGTTTGGAGAATGCCAGAAACTCTAGTTTTAGAGCACAGGGAGTTTTAGAAGAAGAAAAGAACTGCCATGGCAGGATGAAGTTGCTTCCATAAATTCCCCTCTTGGTTAAATAAAAAACAAGAAAAATGAGGAACATTTTTCAGCAGGGGAAAGAAAAGGCTGCAATTTATTAATTTTCATTAAACTCGTCAAACTCAGACCTCCAAATATCCATGGCAGGCTCCAAGTACCATTAGCTGAAGTCTGAACTAATCCCAGTTGCAATTTACTGTCCAACTCCTGCAACTTCTTTGCCTTCCTCCTCAGCATTGCAGAATGTTGGGGGATGTGGCAATATTTACTCCAAAGGAAATCCAACAAAGTCATGTTGTGACTGATGTTTTTTACATTGATTTTTACATAGTCTCACTGTCTCATGCTTTCCCCCATCTGTTACACCCAAGTGTGTGCTTTGTGTTATATATAGTCCCTGCATTATTTGAGAAAACTACTCTCTTGTTTATAGAGCCTCTAAGAGAGCAGCCCCAGGACCTTTAGGGCAAATTTGCAAAGAACAACTTGGAGCTGTCCAGAAATACGAGTTATCTCTGCACAAACAAAGAGGATACTCAGCCCAGCAGCACTGCTCTGTGCCAGGTTGACCTGCAAGGCTGAAGCCTTGCTCCTGGCATGGGAAAACCCTTCCTGGCTCAGAGCATGGCAGCCAGCATTAGACCTTCCAGCAGAGAGCTGAACATGTGACCCATAGTCCTTGAGAAACAGGATGCATAGTACACTCAGCTACATCATGTTGAGACACTCTCCTCAGACATTTCAAGTCTTTTGAGACGGGAAGATCAAAGCACAGACTATCATCTCCCTCCCCTTCCTCCGAGTGCTCAGCTTGAATTACATCTAATATGAAACACTGAGCAGAATATGTTATTTCACTGTGAGAAGATTCAAGTACAGATGGACTCAACCTTATTCCATGCACGCTCTGTGCCTCTTCATTACCTGTGTCTGGTCCAGACTAGATTAGCATTAATTGTGCATTTGGGAAAAATAAATATCTGCAAGCATGCAGCTTGCCAGAGATATTAAAAAGATTCAGTAATCAGTCTTAGTGTCAGCAAAAGCAGAGTGTAACAGAACAGAGCATGCAGGAGCCTAAATTTATTTCACTGTCAGTTGTGAGAGTCAGAACAGCTCTATTTTTATCAGTGACCTAAGTGTAAGCACTGTATGCTCACCACTGCACAGCAAATTCTTCTTGTCAGAGCACTGAACAGCTATTTTGATGTAACTCTCTGGTTTGGACTTGCTTTTAATCCCATTAGTAATAAAGAAAAATCTATTTGCCCTGTCAAATGTAAGCCTGGGGTATGGTGAGACAAACCCTCTGCAAACAGCTGTGCTGACAGCAGAGGTTACAGCTGCTCAGCACCACCATGCCCCGGGGATGCTGTGCACACTCCCATGCCAGCACAGTCAGGAAGGAGCATACAGCTCATCCCAGGCAGGCAGCAGGTCTTTGCTCAGCCCTGTTTTTGAACACAGCAGGTTAAACATCACTGCTGTGGGCCCAGTGGCCAGCTCCCTGCAGGAGGGAAGCCAGACATGGGCATGAGAGCGAGTGCTGATAGCAAGAAAGAGCTTGTCCAAAGGGGAAGGATCCGAAACTTGAATCCAGCGGGACCGAAGGTTTTGGGGAGGCCTTGATGTTGACTGGTTGGGTTGGATGCTCAGCAATGCCTGAAGGGTGAGGCCATGCTCACAAGCATGTAGCAGGTAAGCAGGCTGTAGCTGGAAGAGGGGTTGGAGAGATGAGGCAGATCCGTGCCTAGGGAAGGGCTGGAGGGAGTGCCCCTAGGATGGCTTGTGCCATTGAGATTCCATGCACAGAACCAAAATAAACATCCTGAGCATCTTCCTGACCACATCTGTGATGCCTGGCTTTTGGGGGGGAGAGGACATACCACAGTACCTGTAGCACATGGCAAATTCAGAGCATGACTGAGACTTTTAAGTTGTTTACATAACCTTGCATGAGCCATTAGGCAATGCTTAATCCTCCAGCCATTAGTTCAGTCAGCACCACAAGCCCTGCAATTTAACAATTACCCATCCTTCTACTTCAGCCTGGGTCTGTGTATGCAAACAAATATTAGGCAGCATTCCTTCCAAGCAGGAGAAAGTATGCCTCGAGATTACAGATGACAAATTCAACTCACCATCTGCCCAGCATTTTCTATGACCAGACATGTTCATGGACAATCACGAACACCAAAGATATTACAAAAGGTAATGTTCTGCTTCTGTACTTATTCTCTGAAGAGCAGTAAGAAAGACTTTTGTGATTCAAACAAGAGAGCTCAGATCCATGCTGGGCTTTCATTACTCCAGTGGAAGCTTGTGGAAGACAGAACCCGTGCACGCAGCAGTGAGCACACACAGCCTCCTCTGTCAGCAAACCCCTCCCAACACAGGAGTTTCTGCTCCAGATCCTCCTTCATCCTTCCCTCAGACTGACCCTCTTCATGCCTGTCAGTCTCCCAGGATTGAACTAAGGAGAGAGCTGCCACATCCCATGAGAGGGATGCTAAAATGGAAGACACATGTTCAAAATGACCTCTTGGCACTACACCCCTAATTACACTGTATGTATTCTCTCTCCCTCTTTTACATGTTGTTTTAGCCGTACGTGGCATGTCATGATATTTGAAATCAGAACAAAAGACTCAAACTACAAAGCATCACTGTAGGTGGGGAGTACAGTGAATTCTTTTTCCCAGAAAAATCTGACTAATCTATCAACACACATAGTAAAAATCACATCACTGTAATCAGGGTTTTGTGAACTACAATAAAACTTATTTTTACCCCAAGGTTCTTTTGCCATATCTTTAGGTGCAAGAAGAACGTAAGAAACAGTATTCATGTTGTCTTACACATTAAATTGTCAGCAATTGCTCTCAGCTCTTTACAGATGAGCACTATTGCATTACTCCTCTCTTTTCATGGCATCTTTATCCCACTGCAATCCTTAGCCCTCGCAAGACAAGTGTCAAAACAATGGCCTGACCTGGCAGTGGCTTAATCAAGGAGATGCCCTGAAGAACTTCTGCTTGCTGCTGTCACACCAGCCTCCACCTCTTGTGACACTCTAATCCTTCTGGTTCCAAACAAACACTACTTGAAAAGGTCTCCAGAGCCAGGCTGTGGTCTACTGGAGAGAATCTGCCTTAAATTTACATCCCAGCTTTAAACTCACCCAAATTCTAGGTCTGATTAAACTTCTAAACTTGTACATTTATTACTACCTGCCATGAAATGCTAGTTGAAAAGAAAGAATACTGCTCAGGCATTGTGAGCAGGTTTTTATGTCCCTTTGCTTTGCTTATCAACTATACTTGCTGAGTCAGTAATTAAAAAACAAACTAAAAGAAACAAACTAAAAAGACCAAGGAATTTAACATATCTGTTGTTATTTGTACAAGCTGACTTTATTACTGGAAGAACTCCCCTGGGAAAACAGACATGGCAGTAACATATGTGTGGTTTTCATTCTCTGCTCACTAAAACAGATCAAGTGAACACACAAAAAAGTTTTTCAAAACAGAAAGGCAACACATTGTAGATTTGAATGTGGGCTGAAGAGAAGGTTTAATTCTCCTTAGCCTTTGTAGACCCAAAGCCAGTGGGGATCTTCACCTTATGCTACACAGTTAAACTCACAATTAATGCTTTAGGAATCAAATTGCATACCTCATATCTTGTATCAGGGAAACCCTCAATGTAGGCAGAGTAATTCCTGTATCAGACTTTCGTCTTTCTGTTCCACCACCAACTACAGTGGAGAAAATACACATAGTTAATACAACACTACAGTAATAGGCAGAAATACATTTGTTCTACATACAGCTGAAAACAATCTTAAGTGGCTGGTAAGTGCACTGTTTCTGTGCATTGTCATTAACTCTATCCTGGAAATGTAGAAGTGGACAAAATGAAAATTCTGAATATATTATCTATTCCTTCCTTAACCCAGCACTGAACTTGGGAGATCTAGCTTCCTTTTTTTGTATGTGAAATATCTTAACTTAAATCTGTACAGCAATGAGTTTTATTAGTAAGAATTAGTAAGAATTTATTTCTATGGAAAGCTCAAAACTGAGAACAACCCAAATAAAATTAAGCTACAGTAACATATTCCATGCAAAGAATGGCATGCGTTTCTGTGCTCTGCTCTGATCAAACCACTTTGTGGTGACACATTTTGCTCTCAGGAATTTGTGCCTGCCAGCCAGATTGTTTAGTGCATTACACATTGAAGATTATTAAAAAGTCCTTTCATGGGAGAGACTAGTTTCTCCATAAATGCCTCTTTGAAGACTGATCATACAAGCTCCCATCTGCAGCATCTGAATTGAAGAATCCTTGCAAGACGACCCTCTGAAGTTCAGAGACTTTTACTGTCCCACAGCCAGTGGGCAGGGACATCTCAAGGTTATCAGAAAACCTCTCTTAAAACCCATTAGTAATTAAGTGATTGTAAGGGGCCAAGCCAAAGCATAAATTGAGCACCTAGACTGATGGACAGAAATTAATTACACAATTTCTGAGCTGTACCACCCACCAGTATAAAGATTTACTGAACATGAAGTTATTTATATTGGGATTTGAGAGACAGATTATGCTGACTGAAAGAAAAATGTCGGCTGTCTTATTCCCAGCTCCACACTTTCAGCTTCTTCAGAAATTCTCTCTTGTGGAGACAATGCTTCTCATACCTCACTCAGTGCTCATTAAAAGGGAATGAAGGTAGTGCAAATACATCAAGTGATTTTCCAGACAAGGATGGAAACCATGTTCCTTTGCCTCCAATGATTTCAATCCATTTTGTCCAGACATCAAGACATCCCCACAATGATTATGAGAAGTCTCAAAATGTAAATGCAGTATTTGCAAGCAAATACACTGAAAATCCTGCATGGGTTTCATGTGGTTGCACTGTTCCTCCCATGTTCATTTGCTGTGATGGACTTCTCATGGAGTCACCTGCCAAGTACTCACCTGGGGACTCTGCACTGTGCTCTTGCTTCTCTTCTCTCTCTTGGTACTGAAGCAAATGGGACCACAATGCAGATTTCCCCTGGAAATGGAATAGGTAGCACATTGCTTTAAATAAACCAGGCAAAAACTCCCCCAATAATGGCCAATAAACATGGCAGAATAATGAAATGGCATTTGAATGGGTAAAATGTTCAGTAATGAAAACCAATCCTTCCCTCTTGGGCCATGACACCTCAGGAAGAGAGGACCATCCCACTGATCCAGAAGTCACACCACCCACCTTATTTCTTTGTCCTCACTCTGGGTTTCCTGTGTGAAGGTTGAAAGGGAATAAACCAAACACATACTTGACAACAGCACTGCAATTTCTGGAGGGGAAAATGCCAAAACAATCCCCATCCCAAAACCCCCAAACACCCAAAACTCCTCAAAGCTTTGCAAAATATAAACCAGGGACACTGATCCCAAAGACACCTCCTGCTTTATCTTGGAGTTATACCATTGAGTAGCAGCTTAAAAGGCAGAGATGACATATAGTATTTACCAACCTGCTTGACCTGCAGCCCATGGCTCCAGATTCTTTCTAGCAGATCACAGAGACTGGCAATCAGTGTATTTTCCTCCAGACCTGTTATGTTGGCTTCTCCATGTCCCAGCTCAACTGCTTCATGGCCCATTTTCTCTACCAACATGCGTTTGGTCTATTAAACAAAAAATCCCAACAGTTTCTAAGAATGTTATCCAACAAGTGACAGAATTTACAGATGGGTTTACTTACACATGCCTCATCTAGAGACAATGACTAATAAAGAGAAACTTCAAATCTATTTGCAGAGATTATAAATTAACAAAAATAATTTTATAAAAAAAAGTCTGCTTAATTACTTTGAATCACAGAATATCCTGAGTTGAAAGGGACCCAGAAAGACCACGTCCAGCTCCTGTGCCTGCACAGGACAGCCCCAAGAGTCACCCCATGTGTCTGAGAGCATTCACCAAACACTTCTTGAACTCTGGCAGACTGGGTGCTGTGACCACTTCCCTGAGGAGGCTGTTCCAGCTGTCCTATTTCTATACCATTTATCTATTGTCCTATTTCTACGCTGTTGATTTATTACCAAGCAGAGTACAGAATACATCCTCAGTCTTACTTAGCTTCTGTTTTAATTCTTGTTACAGCCAATAAAGTTTTACACTCAGGTAAAGCAGTATACTACCAACTGCAACACAAAGAAGCTGTGTGTCCATGGCTATGAAAGCTACTTTAATATTAGGAACTGTTATACTTCATTTGCTCTGTATAAACAACATGCACAAGCCACACGTGCTGAATTCCTCCCTTTTGACCATGGGCATCCAGGCCATTCTGTTTAGGCTACATGTCAATATGAACAATTAAAGGAAATCCTCCAGAAGATGTCTGATCATGCTGATTCTCCTTCCTGTCCTTTCTACTTCGATCAACTTCAACTGCATAAACAGAAGAGTGAAAACACATTCCTTTCTCTTCTAGTGTTGAAAAACACTACAGGGACATCCACCCTGCAATAACCAGGTGTTCCAACAGAACAATGCCATTCCAGCTGTGAACCAGGAGAACATCTGCAGTTTTTATTTGAGCTCACTGCAATCCAGGGGAGAGCACACATCGGATGACCTACCTTCATGCGACATTCCTTCAGCAACCCTTCCACAAACTTCCAGTTGGTCTGTGCAATCACAGCTGGAGAGAGGTCTGACAGTTTAGGCTGCCTTAAATTTTTACCTAAACTCCTTGCCTCTTGCATGTATTTCTAAAAATAAAGAGAATAATTTCAGATATTACAGGTCAGAATGACTCTCCTCATCCTAGGCAAGCAAGGTGGTGAAAACAAATGAGCTTGTGTTAATCTAGAAGCATAATCTTGATTTGTCTGATGTTTAGGTGTCAGGCTGGAGAAGTAGAATAATCACTTCTGATAACAGAAAAAGCAAGCTATTTTCCTGAGTTGTACAGAATCGATCAGTATTAGCCAGTGAACTGTGCTGTTAGTCACTAGCATGAAGTTAGGCACAACAAGTGCATAAAGTGTAATACCTTCATTCAGCAATAAAGTCAAAACACTAAGAAAAGTTTATTTCCACTGTTATTTATCACTTTAAAAAAAATTTTAATTGTCTAATTTGTGACCACACTATACATGAATAGAAAAATAATCCTGTGAAAATAAATTATAAGCAGCAGAGATACACTTAATGAATGAGAAAGATTTCATCCATTACTTTTCATCTAGATATTTTATACAGGAAAAATGAGACTTAATCTTATTCTCAATTAACTTCTTGATTACAAGTGAAGTTCATTTTAAACAAAATTGACACTTGGGATCATTCATGTTCTTACTATGGTAATTATTAAATATGGATAAAAATCCACATACTCTTTAAAAAAAGATCCAAGCTATAATTGAAGACTTTCAAACTTTCTGTGCCATTGCCTTGTCTTCAGAGGTAGGGTATTTTTTGCTTTGGTCTGTTTTTTGGGAGTTTTTTTGTTAAGCCAAAATCCACAAACCAATCAGCAAGTGGCCTCTGACCCCAGCATCAGTGAGAGAGCTACATGCTCAGCAAGGCTGAGAAGTTGGCCACAACTATCAAAATGTTGTTTGAGCATTATTCGTAATTTTTTTCTTTAAAAAACCAAGATAATAGAATGCTGCCACATAAAAGTTTTGGAAACCAGTGCTCATAGCCTGGTGTGGGAATGTTCTGTTTTCATAGTGGGTTTTTGTCCAGTTAATGATGCCTCTCTGGGGGATGCTATGTAACAGTGATCACTCTTTCCTGGAAGGAGCAGATCACATCCCTCCAGGGAATTCTTGCTGCTGTTGGCTGGGTTTTCTGGGGAACTGAGAGGTCACTATGGCTGCTGCATCCTTGGAGCTTTCTGTCTAGGCAGAAAATTTATTCCATAGAACCACAGAATGGTTTTTTCTCAACACAGAAATTTGGACAAGAACCACTTATCATCACTCTAACAGGTCAGACAAGAATGTAGGGCTCTCCCCTGCAAAAGCTGTGTTCCAGTGAAGTTCTCACTTCTATAACTACAGTTTCACCAATACTGTAAGGATTTAAAAATAGTTCAATAACTATAGGTGGGAAAAAAAGAAAAAGTTACAGATGATGAAAGTATGCTGTTCAGCAGGCAATCTCACAAGTGACTTCCATCTCAGTGCAAAAATTAACAGCAAAACCAGTGAAAAAGTAATACAGGGAATATATAACTAGAAAAACTAATATTTCTTTTTAAATGTGAAGGGATAAAAAGTGTGGTTATAGTCTGAAAAGTACAAAACACAGATAACCTTATTCATTGTTTATCTTCTTATTATATTAAAATTAAAAATAAAACAAAACTCTAAAGTTTCAGAGAAGAAAAAGGGTGGGCTGAGAGAATCAGCTGTTTGCCCTTTGCCTGTTCATCAGCATCCATGCAGCACTACCCTCTTGCACACTGGGATGAAATGATCCAGGCAGCCAGAAAGCAATGCTTTTGGGATTTGACACCCTAAACTGAATTGTCAAGTGAGCAACATGAGGAAAGAAAACCCCAAAGTGAAACAAAATTGTTATCTCTTAGTCTTGGAGCTGCTGTGTTTTCCAGGGAGCTGGTGTGGAAGCTCCTTTCCAGCTACTTTTCCGATTATAACCACACTTTCAAGTGCTACAGGGACGTGCTCATACTCTACAAGAAAGGGGCAAGTTTGAGATGCGGCAAAGACAGAGCTTCCTCATGCTAACAACATCTCAAAAGCAGCTTTCAACAAGAAAAACTAAAACATACCAGGCAGCATTCAGAGAAGGATTTTTTAGGAGGCCGTGCAGGAGGGGGTGGTCCCTGATCCCACTCCCAGAAGGCCATTGAGTTCTGACGAAGCAAAAGCTCCTCCGATGGCTAAGAGGAGGCAGATGCCCCAATGGCAGAACAGCCAGAAAGAAAGAGGAGACAAAGCAAAAGAAGCATGCATATGATCCACAGCCAAAAAAAGAAGAAAGTAAATACATGACAAAGTACTGAAAAGGCTCTGCTGCAATATACACGCACAAGGCACTGTTTAAAACATCCTTGCAAAGCCCTGTTAGCAAAAATAGCAACAAACATGTACAAGTGCTGTTTTGCTGTGTTTCCATGAAACATCGTTCAAAGCCATGGTTGAAGAATCCTCTCATCCATTCAGGTTCTTTTGGAGGGCAAACTCCAACACCGACCAACATTATTCAGCACGTTTTACCACAAAACAGCATGAGTGTTATATTTTTGCTAGTGACACACAATAGAGCATATGGACATCAATGGAAAAATGTGGCAGAAAATATTTAATAAAGGATGAGGAACTGAAAAGATGGGAAAGAAATGCGTGTACATGACTGACATTTATAGGATGCATGGGAGTTTCCAGGCTTTAGGCATAAAAAGGTCCCAAAGTCCTAACCTTTCAAATAGGCATACTCATGTCAGAAATCTATGTAAGAGGAAGGAAAAAAGTTCCTTTAATAAAAACGGAGGAATCCTGCCTCATTTGCTTCTACAGGGCTGACATTTATTCAAGGACTTAACTTTTCCAGAGACTTCCACCCTGGTCACTTTGGCAGCTGCACTGCCAGGGCTGTGCCATCTGTATGCAGTAACACGGCCAGAGTCTAAATCAGCAAATAAGCCATTTTTCTGATGATAATGGGCCTGTCTTATTCCAAAATAATAAAAGCACTTTATTTATGCTGTGTGCTTTGAAGTTGCACAGCATCTGTGACAAGTGGAGCAGCATCCAAATGGCTACAGAGACCTAACCAAACCATACAGTAGCCACAAAACTGCCCCAAGTAGTCGGCACGTTGTTGTCCAAACCACCAGCTCCTGGATCACAGGTTGTGCTGCCCTCAGATGAGGCCACCCACCTCCCTCATGTCGTTGTCCAGCCCGATGTGCTCCGAGTGCTGCCGCAGGCGATCCTTCCTCCGCTGCGTGGTGGTGCTGCGGCTGGCCCAGCGGCTGGGAAATCAGAGAGAGAAGACACATGTGAGCAGAAGAAAAGCAGGAGGGAAAGCCTGGGTCAGGAGCTGAAGGACATCCAATGGGTCTGCAGCAAAAGAAGGGAAAGCCCAAGCTTGGACCTTGCAGTAAACACGGGTGCGAGCTGGTGCCTGAACTCCGCATGGGAAACCATCTGAGAGGTGACAGACCAGCACTCACCCAAGGGACAAAAATTCTGATGCAAATGTGTCCAGCTGCCTGCCAGGGTCTCCAGTGAGAGCTCCTGGTACCTGAAATGCAGGTCATGTCACAGCATTGATGCCACCACTAGGTAAGTCACTGGACTTAGTTAGCCAACACCACTGCTGCATTTGATGAGGTTCGACAAGAACGGTATCTTAAGCAAAAAACAAAATACAATTATTTGAGTAGCAACTTCTACAATTTTGCTCTTTTATGAGAAGCACTACTCCTTTCTCCACTTTCTGTGGTACTTTCAGGAATTATTTGAGACAAACTTCTTGTTGCAATTTTAACAACTGTTCCTGGGTGCACATATGTCTAAAAGCTATAAACAACACTGATTGTCCTGGGATTAGTCATGTTGCTATTTTCACCTTATCTTTTTTCTTTTTTTTTCTTTTTTGCATCTGGTTTCTTAGTACCATAGAAAGCCTGTTTTTTTCCCACCTGTTCATATACGTCCAGTTGAATGTTTCCTCTCAAGAGAAGGAGTTTGCAAACGTATACATAACTATCTTCACCAATTTCTTCAGAATCAACCAAAGACTGAATTTTGGCTCACCACACAGATACAAAGGGGAAAAAAAGCCACAGGAACTGTTGTTTTAAAAGTCAAACTCAAGTCCCATCACAAATAACATCAAGAAAACAAGTACAAAGGAAGAAATCTGGGTCTGCATGTAATTATGGTTCATCACCTCAGTATCCCATATGACAACACATTTATTTTTAAAGTAGGGGGTTTTTTTTGTGGCATCAAGTCTCTGCTAACAAAACAAAACAGCCCAATAGGTGTCTGCACAGCAAATGCTGATACCTTCTCAGAGGAACACATCACTGAGATAAATGTCTTTGCACCTCCACAGAAGTCTCAAAAATGTACAGTCCCTGAGTTTAATAAGTCACCATTTAATTTTTTTTTTCAGAAGCAACAGCCAAAGCCTTGTTAGATTAGTAAGAGGGGGAAAATAAACCCCTACATTTTAATAATCTCAACAAACAGACATGTCACAGAAAAACACTCAGTTGAACAGAGGATAGCAGATATTAATGTGACTTTAGCCACCTGGTTCTGGAGACCTTCCATTTATTGCAAGCCAGGATCACACTTATATTTAACACAACAGAATGTGAATAACACATTGCAAATTTAAGTTATAGATCAAATATTACCCCATATCATAGTTTTTCTGCTCCAATTTATATGGTTATTTTCTGAATTCTAGACAGAACTTGGATCCATCTCCACCTGCATTTCCACATTTACTAGGAGATGAAAGAATTGCTTTAAGTGTCCTTTAAGGGAAAACATCTCACCAAAGGTGAAAGTAGAACGAAAGCCACAGAATAATTACAAAATAATACACTACCATTAAAGCATTTTCAGTTCACTCCAGATTTGTACTTCATCTGGGAGATGGCAGAGACCATTTTCCAGATTATTAATCAGAATTATTTGAACATTTTAATCATACAAAAGTGAAGCCCGCTGGATGTTTATGAAAAAAAAAAAGGACTGCTACTCATTAGCTGGAGCAATTACACACAGTGAACTGCATATTCCTTCTTTTCCAAACTCTAATTTCAGGAAGAGGAGCTGTTGAGTCGCTGGGTGAGGTCTATGCACTCAGATGCTGCTCTGAATCTCTCTGAGAGGTTTTGTGAAGATCTAACAGCAGATAAATAGGATTAAGCAGTTAAATCTTTTAAAGCCTTTTCTTTACTGGGCCACATAGAATTTCCCCAAAACAATGCTTCAGTATTACAATAACCATTCCCTCTCCTCAGCAGTGACTGCATTTTAAATTGCTCTTCCTCTCCCTGTCATCACTTGAGGTGATTTTAAGGGGGATAAAAGCCCCAGTGGTCGCACTACCTCCCCATGGCTGCCAAAATCCCGTGTGGGTACCTCTGCTGGCCCTGTCATCAGCTGCTGCTCTATTCACACCTCAGCCCAGGTGCTGCCAAATCACCAAGGAAAGCTGTTCTCTCTCCTTTGCTTATTGTCAGCCCTTAGGCTCGGGCTTTTCAGATAACCACTGCTGCCTGTGCCCCTCCTGTCCTTTTTTGAGGAGATGAAGCCCTCCTGCTGCTCAGCCTGGGTGCTGCCCAAGCATTCCCTGACCCCAAAAATGCCTTCTCCCCTTTAGTTTTTTGCTGTCAGGGCCATGAGCATGGACTACTGGCATGTTTCGTTTATTCCTCACAGTGCAGGCATTGCTACAAGCACCAGGTCTCTGGGGATGGCGCAGATGCAGCTTGGGTGTGGTGCTGCAGGGAGCTCAGGGACAAGCTACCTCCATGGAGAAGTGAGGAAAGGCTCATCTCAGTGTGTCTGCCTGTATCTAACTCCCCTATCCACAGATGAATGCTCCTCACCTCCAGGAACTGCTGAAAAGCAGTGATATTTCAGAGGAGGGAGCAGGGAAGACTGTGCTCAGTTCAACATACGGAAAAGAAGTAAGGCACCTCCAACTAAGACCTCTGTAATATAAAGGCAGTCAAGTCAGTACCATTTAGTATCAAATTAAACCCAATAAGCATAGGAAGAGGTTTGCAGAGGTTGGAGGGAATGTAATGGTGACATTTGAAACATCCCATGTTAAGTATCATCTTTTACATTTCTATAATAAAAGAGGTAAGGCAGCAGCAAAGCTGCACTGTCAGAAACAATCTAGCAAAAGAGCACCTCACACCAGGGACTGGCCATGCTGCACTGTGACCATGTGTACATATCACTTTCTTCCCCTACCTTCTTTCTCCCCAGCCCTCCTTTTTAAAGCTCCCTGGAGAAACTAAGAAATTATGTCTTCCCAAATCAGACATGGGTGTAGCAGGCAAGATTTATACTGCAAAACATGAACATACTGCCGGAGAACTTCTTTCTCAGATGGATTTAACCAATATTGCCATCACCATGAAAATCACTATTGTAATTTACAATCCATTTACAGTGATAACAGAGAAAAGGAAGAAGACAAATGCACTTGTTTACAGGACAGAACCTAAATCTCCTCATATACACCATCTCATGAGGCAGGCTGCTATTTAGGTCTGCAAATCATGACAATCCCCATTCTACCTATGTATGTCCATCAAAGGAGTTATCTGAGTTTCTGCATTCACAAATTAGCACACAGCTGTACTAGAGCCTCCACCAAACCCCCCTAAAGCATGCACACATTAAACACACACAGCCTGCACATGCAAACTCCTTGGGCTCAGATGTAGTTTGTATGGGACTACACAGAGATTCCAAGTCAAAGACATGTCAGACCAAAGAAAAAAGGAACGTTGAAACTGAGCTCCACCTGATCACGGATGGGCTGACAGGGGAGGGGATCCACAGTGTGAATCTGCTCCACAAACACTGCTCCATGGTAAGGAGAATGAAGGCTTAGATGGAGACTTATGCACCTTTTTCATCTCTGCCATAAGGTAGAATAGGAAAGCTCTGAAACTGCTCATTGGGCGGGCAAAAATTAGTAAAATGCCTTAAAGACAGCAGCCTTGCACTGACAGGCTCTTTCATCAGTTTATATGGAAAGAATTGCTATTAAAGCATGGCACACACAACAGTCATCCTCTGCAAGGAAGAGCTGCAGTGAATTGCCAGCATTACCTCTTAAGCCCTGAGGAACCACTGTACTATGAGGTGTTTGATTTGCAAGTCCCTTGAGACAGAAGTACTACTCAGGGCAAATGGAATAGTGGATGCAAAGATTCAATGGCCATTTTTCCCTGTCAGCTTTAATTCTGCATAGCTATGTTAAAATGACATATTAACTTAAAGAAGTTAATTGCACTTTTCCTCCCTTGCACCAGTTGAACAGAGGATCAGTAGCTCAGGAGACTCACCCATCAGGTTCCAAGTCACCACAGCACTTATTTCCAAAACCATTTTTAAGTACACATTGTCAGTCACACTTTACTCTTGAAAAGTAATGTATTTGAGTACAAATGGTTCATATTTTCATTGTACCCATCGGTGGTTTACTACATTAGGTTACCTGAAGTATAGTAACTGCTTGTTTCAGATTTTGTTATGTAAAAGGTGAACTTTTACTACTCACAAAATGTAAATAACCTCAGTGCGTGGATGGCTCATTGCTGACTCATTTCATACTCACCTAGATACACTGCAGAGATGCCACTCTATATTACTTGCAATTGTTTGGCTTGATTGAAAAAGAGGGTATCTTCATTTAACACAGCCTTAAAACAGTACCAAACAGATAGGGGGGTAGTAAAAGGCCATTTCATATGAAGCATTCATTAAAAGAGAAAGATAATTTGGCATACAAAAAATAATTTAGTTAAAACCAGAAAAAATTCTGTCATCACACAGAGATACATCTACCCCTTTGCATTATATATATACATCATTTTCCTTTAGAATCATTACTGATATTAAATGCTAGCAACAAGCAAACAAGAGTCCTTTTCATAATGAGAAGAACCACAGCCCCAGGCAGATAAACCCTACACAGTTTCCAACTTGAAGGAGGGGCTGAAGATGAAGGCCACAGGACAGTGCCCACACTAGTCATGTCATAAAATGGAGCACAAAAATGAACCAATTCCATACACTTCTATGCGTATGGAATTTGTAAAAAACTGTGCATGGGTTTTGTAAATAAATACTGATAGAGTGGTCAGATCAGCAAAACAGCTCGGGAACAAATGCCTGGAGTAAACAAACAAATAACTGCTGAAATCTGCTTCATGGGTAAGAGCAACACATCACTCAGCAAAAGCCTGAGGTTAGAGGCCAAGAACAGTGGGATCTGTGCTTGAAGACTTGGACTGTGCCCTGCTTTGGGGACTGCTGCAGGAAAGGTAGGGGTCAGAGGACAGACAAAAGCACAAGGCTCACAGGAAGTTGGGATGCAAGTGAGAGGGCTCAGGTGATAGAAGGGGCCAGGGCAGGAAAGAGGAAACAGGCTGGTCAGGAAAGTAAGCAAGGAGTAAAGCAGGGCTCCAATAAAGAAGTGGGGGAGAAAGCAGGTCTAAAGAGAGGAAGGCAAAAAAAAGGGTAATTAAAGTAATTTTGTAAATATGTAACAAAGCAAACCCTTCATTTGAAAACCAAAAGAAACAAGAAAATATTCCATTCAATTGTTCTTTGAAGGCATTCAATACAAATTGCCAGAATGCAAATATACACTCATGCTTGGGAATCACTGTTTTCCTCTGCTAAATTTAATCTCATTTATCAAGCTTCTTAGTACAAATTAAGTTACAAGGTAATCAATTAGACTGAAAACACAGCTTGTTTCATTGTTTTAATTTTGCACTGTAAGCATATTCCCCCTAATTTAACAATTAGCTAATCAAAAACCATGAAGTGTTTATGTAGCTTGGCTTTTTGTCATTCAAATTCCACTCCTGCAAATGCACCAGCCAGTGGAGTCCCAGCTCCAATTTTAAAGCCTGGCAGAAAATGGGAAGAAGGGAGCAAATAAAAACCACAGTGTGGTGCTGGGGTTTGAGAAAGGAAATGAGGGCTCTGGAAACCACAGCTCTTTTCCAGAGTAACAGACAAATAGCCTGAGGGACTGCAGCCTGTTTTCTCCTGGGATGCTTTCTAAGAGGACTTCTGCAGAAGCCACTGCTTTACATGGTTAGAGTAGTGTGGAGGGGATGCTTTTGTACCCAGAGGAAGCTGCAGCTTCTCTCTGTAGATTCAGAAGGTTTTCCCATGATGTAGGGGATGTATCAAAGGCAAGGACCACAGAGGGAGTCCAAGTGGGACACTGCTCCCTAATGGGAAGGAGGACAGAACTGGGTGGAGTGTTTTGGTTTGGGTTTAGCTTAAATTGTTTAAATCATATATAGCATCTAGAACTGAAACTAGAAGCGTTTGTTGTCTGCATTATATTTGTGATTTAGATACAACACATTACTTATATAACAGCCCAGTAACTGATAGAGGTATCTTCAGTGCTCCTCCTGCTTACAGGAAGGGAACAGCCAGATAACATTATGAGCTCTGGCCGTATATTTGTTAGTTTATCAGCCCAGAAAGGGAAGCAATAAATCTCTGATTGCTGGCCACTGAGGATATGTTTTCATTAAAACAGCTTTGAATTGGTTTATTTGCTACTGTCCAGCAACAACTGACCACAACATGGGAATTATTCCACATTTCCCACAAATACGCTTCCATACAAAATTCAGGACAAAATTTGCTATGTAAAACTGAAGCCTGCAAAAAATAATTCTCATCTACACAGCAGTATCCTTTGCGTTAATTTTATAATATAAGCACACAACTAATATAAGCTACATATATAATATAAGCTACACCTGAAGAGTCTGGAAATGTAGCTGTAATGTTCTTTTACCCCATACCCATAAGCAAAGCTCCAGTCCTGTAAGTAAAATGTATCTCCAAGAATCATACACTGGGAAATTCAAATTAATGGAAGGCTATACTTAAATTGATTTTGTGGTCAGAAGAGTCACCCTGTATTTTCACAAAGCATGGAAAAGCTGTTCTATACATGGGTGCAAAATCAGCAGAATTACATGTCCTAAATGGGAGAGAAAAAGTCTTCTCAGCTGCTCACATGAAAACCAGGAAAAAGAAAGATATAAACAGATGGTCTTGAGATTTTCCAATTACAAGCCTTTTTGGCAATGCACAACTGGAAGAATTCCAAACATTTGTCAGTTTGACATTGCTTTGTGGTAAGTAATGGGACTTTGGTACTTACAAATTCTGAAACATGCTGCAATCTAAATTAAAATTATCACTCAAGGAGTTAAAGTCATTTTAGAATAGGTACCAGTCTAACAGAAGGAAATCTTAAAGGGCATAAGGAAACCTGTTTTTAAGTGATGCTTATTCATAGATTCACTAAGATTTTGCAATAGAGACAGAAGATTTAAGCAACTTTAGGCAGGCTGGGCACACTCACACTGTTGCTGACACTGTAAAACTGAAACCCACCCATACGAGTAAGAGGCAGACTGCTAAACACAGCACCTCACAAGATGAAGAAATCCTCCATTCCTCAAAGGACCATTACCCATACATTCTTTTAAGGATCTCAATTTCTTTAAACATTCAGTGTTTAAGGATATCTTACTTTATCACTTGCAATTCTTACTCCTAGCAGGTTATTAAAAAGGGCTTAGCTACATTGGTATGCACAAAAGGTGTATAAATAGAACCGAGTGGGCACCTCATGCAGAAGCTCAGAGCAGCATGTGTGCATGCACATGTCTAAAACAAGAGGTAGCTTTAACATTTGGACAATTGTAGCCTTTGAAGCTCTTGGATTTACCTGTGCTCACACATTTTGATTTCCAGAAACTGAGGGCTTCAGCTGATAATTTAATGAGTTTGTAATCAATGATGCCCAAATATTTCTATTTGGAGGAGGGAGAAGCCCCTCATTCACGGGTTTTGAAGGAAGAAAGATTAAAAAGAAAGGAACTCACAGCACTTACTTGGTATTATAACTGTACAGATGTAAAGTGTATCAGTGCTCCAGGTTCCCATTTTACATTAGGTAGATGAACCATGTAATGGCATGCTCAATTCCATAGCTACAGGCACCCCTATCCTCTTATCAAAGTGCACCACAGAACCTTTTCAGATTCAAAAAAGAAACCCAGGTACAGAACAACATACTTGTCACTGTCACCAAGTTAGTGTTCCAGGGAATTCCAATGTGGCAACTGAAAGAGAGCTATAAAAGTCTCTGGGCTATATAATAACTGCTAAACTGAAGAAACAAAGTGGACACTAACTTTATTCCACATGATGTTGTCAAAGTTTCAACACCAAAATTTCTTTCATAATCTGAATGTTGGCTTGAGTTCCCAAATTACTGTATTCAGTGCAAAACAGTCAAATGATTAATTTGAAACTCGTAAGACCAATTACAAAACAAAAACTGTGCTTGAGAAGACAGAGTACTTAGCACTCAGCAGAAAATAGCAGTGAGGAACAGAGCTAACATTAACCTGACATAACTCAAACTATGGTTATATTTTCAAAAGTCACAGCCCATACAAACCAGAAACAGCTGTTGGGGGTTATAAGCCATCCAAAATTAGGACTTCTGTTCAACGATGTGAATTATTTGTACGAAAAACCTGTTTTTAAATCCAGAAATTAAAACCTGTGCTTACTTGTTATTGGTGGGTCCCGTTGCCAAGACATCCGACTGCAGCTTTGGGAAGAATCCTTGCTCGTATTTCCCTTGGCCAATCTTCATATCGAGCAGGTGAGGGTGGATGGCTGTGTGGTCAATCTTCATCAGCCGCTGCTCGATGGACTGGGCTGCAGGTGACAGTCACGAGTGAACAACCGCGCCACGACCCGCACTGTCACAACTGCACTGCTCATGCTCACACCCCTGGAAACCCTCTAGGAAGTTAAACAGTGACCTTAGACACAGAAATCTGCCACTCACAGAGGTGAGAAGACACTTGTGCTGTAGGTTTTTGAATTTTGATTTAAGTTTCTTTACCCGACACAATGAGCACTGGTGCGAGTTAGCTGTTAAGCAAGCAGGTATTTACAGGAGCCTATGAGGTGCATTAGGAACTGGTGAGAGCAGTGCAATCTTTCCCTGAAATTCCTTGTTTGATTTGTTTTTTCTTCAGCAGAACAGAGACCTCCAAGGCCAGCTGCAGCCCCTGTGGGACTGGTCACCTTGCTTAGCCCCAAACACATTCCCAGGCAGATGCATGGTGCGGGTACACCTGAGTTTTGCAAACATCTGGGACTATAATGATCCTCCTGCTGAAATCAGATATGCCTTTACTGGATGACAGGCCTTCAAAAAGCATAGCTAACTGTAGCAAGGCCTGAGCAGCATCAAGAGGACAAGCAGATTCTTGGAAACAGGGAAGGCTATGGTAAGATGGGAGACTGCTCCCAGGGAATCTCAGCTCCATTGAGACCAAAGTGGTTCAATCCTTTCCTTCAAGGACCTGAGGGTTTCAATCTCAAACCTCCTGCAGAATGAAAATAAAACCTGTCACCCTGTAGTGAAAAACTTGGGAAAGGAGGTGTATGGGCAAATTCAGCATTTAATTAGCAACTTTAATATTCAACTCTTTCTAGCCCATCTATTAACAGGCAGGCCTGTTCTTTCAGCATATCACACCTAGTGAATATATATGCAAAATGTGGAAGCTAAATCTGTTTTCCATTTGTTAAGAACAACATAGAACTAATTTCCTATTTTCTAAAACTGTGATGGGAAAGAAGCTGTCACAAGATTTACATACATTATCATTAGAAACTCAGCAAGTATTTTTTCCCCCCTCTAAAAAAAAAATACAAATCACTTTGTATGGTTCCATTTTGGAGGAAAGGAGTGGGTAGTGTGGGGTCAGAGGATTTGAAGAGTTCCAAAAATAATTAAACAAACAGGTGCTGGATCAGTGCTGGGGTCACATATATTGTGAATGGTAAATATGAAGGAAAATTGTTATTACTATCAGTTTGCTGCTTTTCACAAGATAGAAAATGAGGTTCTGGTGCCACAATATCTGCCAAAACTAGACGCTGAATAGACAGCTGACCTGAAAATTAGAATTGGGTTTGACAGAAAAAGTTAAACAGATACATATCTATTTCTGACATGTTTATAGAAAGTAAAACACTGAAGGAGTTAAAAAAAAAAAAAACAAACCAAAAAACAAACAAACAAAAAAACAAATTAAAAAAACAACCAAAAACCCCCAAACAAACAAACAAACAAAAAACCAAACAACAAAAAAAACCACCCCAAAACCAAAAAAATCCCCAAAACAAAACAAACAAACAAAAAAAAAAACCACCAAAAAAACCCCAACCAAAAACACCATGAGGAATGGGTTTGCCCTAGCTTACTAATACATGTCCCAACAAATTTAGGAGTATCATTTCCCTGTATTACTTAGAGATTAAATAAATACTTGCACAAGCATTAAGTAAGAAATTAAAGTATAATTTGAAAAGGCATCCTGTGATAGTAACGGAAAAAAATTCCAAGCCTTCAGTACACTGCATTGTTCATTAACACTGAACATGTACTGCTGGAGGTACTAAATATGCCACACAGGATTACGTCCCCTGCTGCTCTAACCAAATGGTGTAAGGCAAAACAACATCTTTTCATGGGAAAGGGGAGACAAGGCCACTAGAGCAGACACCGGGGCTTGACTCCTCAGTGTGGCTGGCACTGGTCCCACCACCAGGGTGAAGGAAAGCTCTCCTGGCAATGGAAGAGGAGCTGCCTGAAATGAGAAACTGTGAGCCAGTTCCATTTGGGCTTGGCTTGACTTTATTAAAGGCACCAGCCCGGGAGAGCTCAAAGGGAGGGTAAAGGCTCCTGCCGCTTCTGGTGTTTAACAGCTTGCTAAAGTTTTTGCTTAGATGAGATAAGGACACTGCTGAGTCCTCCTCAGGTAACTCTAAGACATCCTCAACTGCAACACTCAGATGACTGAGGACCTATATTTCTTGGTAGCTGACACTGTACTTTTGAATATTTAACCAGCCTGAACGTACCTGCTTCTTTCAAAGTGCTGCATTTCTGGTAGTTGGATGTCCGCAGTGCAGGGGCCCTGACATTATATAGCCTTATTTTCTCAATTCGGGTGTCAAAAACTCGTAGAAAAGGGTCCTTCTCTTCCCACTGGGACATTATCTTATTGTCTATGAAGGTTGCAAACATCTGGGTTTCGATGAAGTGTGAAAGGAATGGGAGGTAAGGCTCAGGTTGGTCCGAAAGGAAGGAAGCCTGAAATACAGAACATCTCATTAATGGCAAAGGGAATCTGGAGTTACTGAAGTAGTGCTCATGCTGACTGCTTTTTCAGAGCAACCTAGCAGCTCTCAGCCCAGAAATAAACCCTGTGAAATGCGTGGCAGACCATTACATGTGCCCCATTGGGACCTCTGGTCTGGGCATTGTTGCCTGGGACCATATCACTTATTAAGGTGTCACACATATCAAGGGTTGTATAGTGCTCTTTAGCTGAGCTCTCCTGCGATGTTATACAGGGTAATTAATCAGGGATTTCCAATTAGGATTTATTGTGCATCTAAGTCTCTGAGCTTTGAAAACCCTAACTTAACAGCCCATTTTACTGCAGAAGCACTAGCAGAGATTGCTTAAACAACCCCATCGTTTTGAATGCTGCACTGTTTAATGCCCAAATAAACCAATAAAAGGTATGGCAGCAATTTTCTAAAATCAAAAACTGACTCAGATCAGTATCATGTTCATCACTGTTCATCCTTTTAACCTTTTCCTTAGAGAAAGACTTGTATCTCAAAATCATGATGGCTAAGAACACTATCTGCTTTGGAGGGTCACTCAGCAGCTGTGCAAGCTTCCCAACATTTCCCATTCCTTTTGCTGTCCTCCCATCTCTTTATAGTCCCATTTCTAATCTCGAGAGATCCTTTTTCCCTCTTGTGCATACGCTCCAATAGAGTCATAATATTCTCTAAATGATAACCTTCTTCAGAACAACATTACCCATTACCAAAAACCTCTACCATGAGATTAGGAAAAATTAAAGACTAGATTTGGTTTTTTGTCTCAAATGTGCACCTCTCCTCCCAACAAATGAAAAAAAGAAAGAAAGACATAAAAAGAAGTCACTTTGCATTGCTACCCTTCTACCAAGCCCACAGGAGCAGCCCCATGAGCTGGGCAGAAGCCTGCCAGCTTGGTTTGCACAAGTCAGGATGGCTCTGAACAGCTGAGTGGATGTGCTCCGATTTACTCTGGCAGGAGATCTGGCTCTGTGTAATGGAAATGGACAAATCTCTCAGTGAGGCAGATGAGGAAAGGCAGATTAAAGAGTACCTAGGCTATATATACACAAATACAGCCATCCTCCCTCGCCCTTTTAGTTGGAGACATGAATACATGGCTATCTTTACTTTGTCAAAATTTTGCATTTGTTCCCTGTTTGTCAGCCACGACTCCATGTCGGGGGCAGCCTGGATGACGAAAGCCTCGTAGTCTGCGAACATCTGCGTGAAGCGGTTGGCGAAAACCTCGCGGAGCTGCACGTTCAGCTTGTAGTCCCTCAGCTCCAGCTCCTCACACGACAGCTTCCCATCCTTCTCCTCTGTCAGGGGGCTGGTGATGGTCATTTTCTCCATGGTCACGCCCGTTCTCTTGGCCAGGGCTTGCAGGCGGGCGATCGTCTCGTTGCCTTTCAGCAGCTCGTACATGTTGAGGGCATTGCTGGGGATGTTCCCATTCTTCTTGTCGTTCACCAGGTCACTAAGAACCAAGTTCTTGAGTTTGGTGGCGCTGTCACTGCAGTGCAGGTTGCCTTCTGGAGGAATCCCGTACTGCAGGAGAACCTCGGAGATTTCCTGGATAAACTCCAGCTTGTTGGGGAACTGCGGGAATTCCTCTGGCAGTTCAATGAAATGGTTATCAATGTCTACAAAACACAAGTTCGCCTGAAATACAAACAAAAGGATCAAAAATGTACACTCAGCACTGAACTGGTTCCTCTGCAATATAGCCTCTTCTCCCAGGGTAAGGGGAGACTTTCTGTCTCTCTTCCAGACAGAAGGGTAAGTGCACGTGTATGCAGGACACTTTAGCTGTGTTGTCTAGCCTGAGACATTTCTGATTTCAGTAAAGCTGAGGATCAGCTGGATGACAAGTAAAGGCTCCTGGCCCTCTCCTGTTTGCCCAGGACATGAAGACCCTAAACTTTACACTGAAAAGATTTCATACGCCCTCCTAGAGCAGCCAGGGACACACCACCAAGCAGGAAGTGCAGCACCACTTCCCAGCTCATGTAAATACCCTTTGTGTGAATTACTGCATCTGACAGGCACATTTATTTTACCAGGATCCAACTGCAAGAAGCCTCTGAAGCTTTGCTACCAAGAAATGAGATGTTCAGTGAGAAAGATAATGCTCTTTCAAGCAAAACTACAAAAGAGGGTCCCATGGAAATCCTTTGGGATTATGTCTGAGCGCAGCTTGTCCGCTAGAGGCCAAGTCCTATTTCCCCACTTCCCTGATCCCTTGTTTCCATGGAGGCTTTTAATATTGGCAATTCCTCTGCCTGAGACTTAAAGAGAGTGCTCTTAGCTTTGCTATGAAAGGAGATGGATCTCAGCCTGTAAGATTAAAGCTAAGTGAAGACATTAATCTAGTAGAGCAGATACTTTTACTAGGAAAGTGTCGATGGAGGGAAAGAAGAACCCCACATAAAAATTAATTACATTGCAAATGCACCCTCAGGAATAATAGCAGAATGAAAAACAGTAATTGATCTTCTGAACGGTAGCTTGCATCTGAAATTCGCTGTCTGAGTGCACTGAGTAAAATCTTAAACCAGGTCAGATTCCCAAGGTGCTGAGCTCTGATGTGCTTTATCCTGGCATAAAACTGCAAAACAGAAGATGCAGAAAACCCATAGGGCAGCAGCAGGTCTTTGTTAGCCTGACTTGGCCATTAGCACTGCTCCTCTGCCTTCTCTCAGGCACTTCTAGTATTCTTTACTTCTTACCAAATGCCCTAGACTAATCTTCAGATTATGTGAAAATAATTTTTTTTCCTTCATTTTTGAAAAGGTTAATTTTCAGCAGGACAATACATTCCACAGCAAACATGTTTATAATATACTGTCTATTTCAGAGACATGTTTATTAACATTAATCAGCTTTCACATAGACACTTTAAAGGGTATTAGGATTCATTCAGTAAAGCAGAAGTGTCCCTTCAGCTTTTTCATATTAAATTTAGTCTGTACAAAGAAAAGCATTTCTTTGTACAAAATGATTTGCTTTATTTAACTATGCAGCTATTACACGGTTGTGGTATGTGTCAGTATAGTTCTTTAGCTCAGGGTCTGCCTTCTTATCTATCAATATTTCATTTCAAAGGCTTTTTAATTTCAGCTCTGCATATCATTTACAAAATTTGAAAAATGAGATTTTGATTCAGAAAACCCTTGGGGAATTGGTCTCACTTCTCTCTTCAAAAACATCTGATGATTAAAGTTAATGCAGGGAGATTAGTAACCTTAAGACAGCATGATGGCCAGTTATTAGAATTTTTATCTCTAACAAACAAATGGCTTATATTTAGAGCAAGAGCTAGCCCCTGGCCTGAACAATAAAGGAATGCTGATGTGAACAGCACTTCATCACTGCTCGCATGCTGAGGGATTTTTTATTTTTTATTGTCTAGAGGCATTTAAGATTCAAGATCTTCCCTGTTCAATATGTCTTCTTTCTTTCCCTCTCCCACAGTTACTGGACCTGTGGTATTCATAAATGCTGGTATTTTTCACTCATTTGTTAAACATCATGGAGGGGGTAGATTCCACCCTTGTCTTACTCTTCCCTCCCTGGTGATATTTGCTATTCCAACGATACTGCAATATCAAATACTGTCACATTAAAATTTTAATTTAAGGAAAATGACAGCTTAATCTGCTACCCAAAAGCATGTAACTAATAATTTTAAAAATCGCAGTAATTATGTAATATTAGCATGGTTTTACTGAGGAGCATAGCTAGATAACAGCTTTGCTTCCACACCAGTTCAGATGGCATGTGCTTCAGTCACTGTATCCATGAGGTAAAACTTGATTTGCAGTTCCATGCCACCGAGGCTGACTCAGTCACCTTCATGCAATATGGAAAATAGACCTTTCTTAAAAATAGTATTACCCCTGCCCTGTGTTTATCCCTCCAGGTCCACACAAAAACTCCCACTCCTGCATATTCTCCTCTGCTGCTGCTCCCATCTGCCTTCTCAGTCAGAGCAGGTATTGGGAAACCTTAAGGACTCTGCACCCAGAAGAATCCCCTCAGCACAGCCACTGGCAGATCTTACTGCTGTATAAAAAGATACTTTTGGGGTTCCCACTGATTTTAAGAACAAAACTAAGTTTAAAGGACATGGCATGCTCTGGTTCCAGTCACCATCTGGAATGCAGACAGGTGAGCCATATCCCAAAGACTTTACCGTATGGCCAGGCTAAAATGTGAAGCAGTTTTAATCACCTTTGTCAAATTTTGAAGAGAAAAATCTCCAGTTCACTCTTCACCACCACAAAGGATTTAGCCCTGAGATTAAGAGGATAACCTCTCCTTCATTTTTTTCTCTCTAAGTGGTTCAAATGTACAGTACTAATGCAAACCTGGCTTGTTTGAGGCCAGGATGCTGGTCTAGTAATAGAGCAGGAACACATGGGCTCAGCCACGGATGGGCTGGGGCTGGCAGGACAAGGCACGCTCCTCAGCAGCAGGGGGACGAGGACAGGTTTACACCACCTAGCAACTCCCCCTGAGATCCAGATCCATCAAGATCCTCCCCAAATGAAATGCTCTTTAGCCCTCTGTCAGTAGGACTGTGCCACTGATGGATTAACAAAACCTGGTGAAACGTGTGATGTAGGGAAAGGCAACAAACTTTCAGCTTTGTCACAACAAACAGCAGAAGGAGAAGCATTTAGAAATCAAAACAGTAAGAGGTACTCAATAAATTCAGAAATGGACCAAAGAGGGCTGTGGAGACATCCCTACTATCTCACTCCTGCTGGCAATCAGTCTCCACAGAGCCAGAGAAGTCTCCTAACACCAGGCATTATTTTCCAGCAGTAATTCACACAAATATTAATAAGGCATTTCAGGATAGCAGCCCCAAAGGCGGACACTGACCTCCTGAGGCAGCTCCAGCTTGGAGCGGTCGGTTCCCTCCTTAGACTGCAGCCCCATCAGGTAGGGAACAGGAGCATCCAGAAAATGCAGGAGAGAGGCAGGAAGGATGGGGACGTACACATGCTGCCACTGAAATGGGAACAGCAGCGTTGTGATTCCCTCTGCCACCGTCATCAGACGCTGATAGTCTAGACATGGGAGAGAGAAAGACAGAATTGAATTATCTCCCTGTGTTCTGCTTTTTGGCAAGGACATCAGTGACAAAACAAAACAGGAACCATGTTTATATGGTAAGATGTTGTTTGGAAAATAACAGTACTTAAAAACCTTAAACATTATTTAATCTGTTAAAGCTCATTCCTCCCATAAAGAAACTGCTGAGTGTAGGTATTCACACCATATCTACATCTACTCTGTCATTAAATTAATTTATTGAAAAGATAGCAACAGTTCTATAATATAATAATTCAGATAATAATACTCTAATTCCATAAAAAGCACTTTTTTTTACATAGGAAGAAGACGAGAAAGACGTGAACATTGTGGTTTCTTGCTTGCTCCTGCCTGCCTGCTTCTGCTCCACTTGCTACTATTTCCAAAGCTGAATGTACTTTCCAGAAGACTTGTCTTGGCCAAATACCAGCAGAAGTTTACAGCCCCTAAGTTATAAAAGCAATGCTTTTAAGTTAAACCCAAACAGAAGCCTAATATAAATTTAGTTCTCAAATATATTCTGCATAGCTAGTATATTTATATTATGTTACTTTCCCAAATTTGTATTTAACCCATATTACTTTGCTTTTCAGTATTTTGGTTTTAGTAAGCACATTGTGCATTATTTTTTAAATTAAAATTAATTTTGGTCCAGCTGAGCTGTATATTTCAGAATTTGGGTAAGAGCAAATTATTTATCAAATATCTGGCTGGCATGATACTATTTATTAATAAAAATGAGAGGATAAATTGAGAACAAATTTTTAAAATAAATAAATCACACGCTGGTCTTAAAGAAATGGTCATCCTTACAGCTGCATCTCAAAGTGCAGACAATCCATCTGGAAACAGGTGGGTTTGTAAGCTCCATGGCTGTTTCCAAACCCAAACATCAGTGCCAGGTGAGTCTCACAAGCTCTGGTTTGAGCAACCAAAAAGTTTTCCCTCTTACAGAGGCCAGAGGCACAACCCAGATCCTGGGTAACAACTTGAGTTGTTGCCCATCTCTCCTAATCCTCACTGCCCCACTCCAGAAAATGAAAGATGTATGTATGAACACCCTGGTTCTGAGTCAGGTGAGAAGTCTTTTTCCTACAGCCCCACTGACTGCTTCTGCCTGGAGAGGAGCCCAGCTTGACCCTTCCCATTTCCTGAACATGCCAGCCCGAGACCTTGGCAGACACCAACAACAGCAAAAGTGCTGTCATCTGACACTGCTCAGCTATTAGGAGGTCACTGGGAAGATGTTCTTGAATAAATATGCAAATTGCAACAACAAATTGCATAACCCATTCTCCTTGCTAGCACCTCTCTGTGGAAAACCAGCCACGATCTGCAGGAGGTCAGCTGGCAGGGCAAAAACATTTTTCATCTTGTCTAATAGCTATTCAGTCAGTCTTCAAAATTATTTTCATGCATACAAGTCAGTCTCAAGGTTACACCTCCAAAACACTGCCCAGCTACAGATCAGCTGCTTACGAATCTCTGCCCATGCAATGCTCTACAATTACACATTGTGCACTCCCTGTCTTGTCGAGGAGCACTTAAACTCAAGTTATAATACCTGGAGAAGTTATAATACTGGAGAAGCTTAGGAGTCCCATAACATTTCATAACTCTGAAAACTTTAAAGATTTAAAAATAAAACAAATAGAGAAAGCAGCATGCTTTTTATGTGAAACACCTTCAAAGTCTGTTCTGACCTACACAGCCACATGAAGAAACAGGTCTTGGCAGAAAAGTGGCAAGGATCTTTTTGGAAAAGGGCATTCAACTCTGGAAACGCACGCTGACTTTTCTCTCGTGCTACTGGTAATATTTAACATGGTCACCAGCACAAATTTTGTAACCAATTTACTACGAGAAAAGCTGCTTTAAAAAAACCCAAAAACTAGTGACGACTAAATTATTAGGCTATTACCATCTAGCAATGCTTGTCAGTGATTAGCAGATAAAAAACGTTTATGTACCCAGCAGTTTTGACTGAAGAGAGGGAAGTTCCAGTTTCCTTCATAAAAACAGTATTCAAAAATATGTAATTTTTTTTTGTTATCAGTTTAAAGAAGTCAGAAACTCTAGTTAGTTTTAATGTACTTTCAAGCCTGTACAAGGTTAGACACCCATCACCTAAAGCCTGAAATAACATTTGATGGAGGGATTCTTGTTCCTATCATAATTTGAGGGAAGCTTACATGATTACTGAGGATAACCTGGAAACCTGGGGATTGAGGAAATGGCCTTTAGTTGTGCCTGGGGAGGTTTAGATTGGATATTAGGAAAAATTTCTTCACTGAAAGGGTTGCTGAGCATTGCAACAGGCTGTTCAGGGAAGGGGTTGAGAAACTATCCCTGGAGGCATCTAAAAGACATGTAAATATGACAGAGACATGATTTAGTGGTGGGTTTGGCAGTGTTAGGTTTACAGCTGGAGCTGATGATCTTCAAGGTCTTTTCCAACCAAAATTATTCTATGACTCTTAATATTCAAAGCTCCATCTCTAATTTGTTCACAGAACGTTTTCCAAGAGAAACTGCTCAAGGAGGATAACCCCAGGGCAAAGTGATCCCTGGGGCTTCTACTGCAACCACTGCCTCCTAATAGCTTAGCTGGATTTGGTGCAGTGTTTTCTCTCGTATAACCTTTTCACTAAATGAAGGAGAGGGCCAAAGAGTCAACCTCAAAGACTCTGGATCCACCTCCCTTTCCCAGCACCATCTGCTGGGGGGCCTTGGCCAAGTACCTCAATTCCCTGTGCAGGGCATGCAGTGGCTGCAGGGATGTGCTTCACTGCAGGCTGGCACCTCTGCTGCTCTAGCATCATGCTCAGCCACGCTTTACCCAGGTCTGATAACATTCACATGGCTCACAAGATACAGTGCTTAAAATGCACACCCTGAGATGTTCCTGTAGAGCTACCAATCCCTATTTTCTGCTAGAGATGGAAATAGTTTCAGCACTTGAACATCAATTCCCTACAAGTGTTTTTCTGAAAGAGGACAAACCTTGACAATTTTTTGTTTTAATGTTAATTTTCCGAACACAATAACAGGACAATCAATACAAAATATCTATCCCAAAGGCCTTAAAGTTCAAATACAGGAAGTGACTGAAAAAAACAACAAAAAAAATAATCTTCTTTTCATAATACATACTGGAGAAAGAAGCTCTGAGATGTTAAGCAATTCACAAGGCTTAACATAAAAATTATTTTTCCTGCCACAAAAGAGTCTGATATCTCAAAATCCTTCCCATGCTGCAGCAAAGCAAAGCCAAGATCCTTTGAGAAGGCAAAAAGACATCGGTGTTATCCCTGCCCCAAAGAGCTAAAACCACATTCAGGTTCTACCCCCAAAACAGATTCAAATCTTTGGTCACAATCAAACAGAAGACAATTTCACCTGGGACCTTCTCAGAAAATTCCCAATCACTGGAACTTTGTGTGTAAGGCATGTGTAAGAGCACACACACTCATTGTCCCCAGGAAGGCATTCCTGCTGGGAACAGTGTACTGTTATTCCAGTTTCAGCACCTCCAGCCTTCCCAATGAAAGCACAACTTGGCCGTTTTCCAACTCTTTCTTCCAGTAACCTAAAAGGTAGGGCAGAAAGCCTACTACAGAGCTGGAGTCACAGCCTAGATCCTCTCAATCCAGTCCAAGGCTTTAAAAATAGCCTGTGCTTCTTTATTTTCCTTTTGAAGTATCACTTTACATACAATTTGAAAGCACCTGGAAACGTTTGAAGAGATGAGTTACCTGGACACCACTTCCTTTCCTCTACTGCTTTTATAACACACATAATGGATAACTCCACCTTTGAAAAGCCACATATTTAAAAATGTATCCTGAAAGATGATAACAGATGGTATTCTCAAAGAGTACCTTATCAATATGCACCAAAAAATTGTCTTTAAACAAAACAAAACAAAACAACAACAGAGAAAAAAAACATATCAACGAACCTGAATGAATAAAAGCTAATTCTTTAGAGGGAAACACCTGAACAGGCTTTAAAACACTTTTTGTGACCAACAGTTTTAATATTATAAGCAATTGTTATTCAATTGCGGTTTTTTGATTGGTTGGTTTTTTTGGGGGGTTTTTTTGGGTGTTTTTTTGGTAACAAGATATGAATTAGATGAGCCAGGTATATTGGAAAAACTGGAAAATAAAATTATTTTGCTTTGAGCTCTGAGAATGAGTCAAGAACAGCTCATAACCAGACCTGTCTTGGGTCTGGGTACCTTCAGATCTGTAATGTTTATATATAGCACACTGCAGATGAAAAACAAAATCTGAAATTCACATCGGAGACAAAAATTGTTTATGAAAGCAAAGATTTTCAAATCAGATCTCAACAGCTCCACAGAAGCAGCACACACAAGTGCTGCAGACATCAAAGTGCCCTGGAAGCTTCCACCTTTCATCTGGTTTGCGTGCTGGCAGCTGTGACAACTGACAAGCCAGTCCTGGTGACTTTCAAGAGATGTTCAGACAAAACACACAAAATGGTGCAGGAAATGCTTATGCACTACAGAAATCACCTTGCAGCAGTGCTGCATTCAGGGAACCTGGACAGGTGCTGTGACAGAGGGCTGTAACCAGCAGACTGTCCCAAGGAAATGACCCCTGGCATCTCAATGCCCTCCTGTCCCAAAAGGAAGGGTGGATTCACCAGTGAGTGACACAGCACATCAGTTATATGATAAAAGCATGAGTGGCAATTTATGCAAATATGAAAATATGTATTTTCTTCCTTCATCTAACTGCCTGAAGAGTTAGCCTCTCAAACTAGGGGTCAGCTCTGCCCCAAGGGAAACATCCCAAGGCCAATATTCACTAAGGTCAATTCTTACTCTTTTTCCCTGTTGGCCAACACTTAATATAAAAAACTTCTGCTTCAATACATTTCCATTTATATAATTTAACTATGTCCCAGCCTGCCATCAGTGGTTCAGCACAAACTAATTTGTGAT